TGGACAGGTAAAGCTGATTGGCACCCGCAGCAAGTTTGGAGGACTCTTTAAAATTAAAATAAGATGTCTGGAACCAACTGTACGAGTCAATCAGGTGTCCACAAACACAAATTTGTTACAGCTATATCATGAAAGATTTGGACATCAAAATAAAAGCCATGTGAAGAAGGTGATTGAAAATGAGTTTCATATAAAAGTACCAGTAACCAAGGAACTCTGTGAAGGTTGCATCTATGGCAAATCCCATAGACTTAAGTTTGGGACCCGAGAGAAAGCAACGAGACCTGGAGAACTTGTATATGCTGATGTTTGTGGACCCTTCCCATATTCTATCACAAAGTTGCGATATTTTGTTCTCTTCAAAGATGATTATACAAGGTACAGATTTGTGTATTTTATGAGGGAAAAAGCTGAAGTACACGCGAAATTGCTACTTATGCTTACTGAAGTAAAAGCATCAGGAGTTGTCATAAAAGAACTTCTTAGCGACAACGGTGGTGAGTTTGTCAACGCGAAGGTACAAGCTACTCTCAAGAAGGAAGGTATTGTGCAAAGATTGACAATGCCCTATACGCCACAACAAAATCCAACAGAGCGAGACAACAGGACCGTTGTGGAAATGGCGCGGAGTCTAATGTACGCACATGCAAAAATTCCTCCTGCACTTTGGGCTGAAATGATATCTGCTGCGGTGTACATCTTAAACAGAACAGGCCCAACCTCTGTGGATGGAAAATCACCGTATGAGTTATGGCACCAGAAGAAACCCAGACTGAGTCATTTAAGAATAATAGGATCCATTTGTTATCCACATGTTCCCAAGCAAAGACGAAAGAAGTTAGACAAGAAGGCACAAAAAGGAATATTAATTGGATATGACTCTGACAATGGCTACCGTATTTGGGACAGCAACTCTTTCAAACTGATTCGTTCCAGAGATGTCACTTTTAATGAGAATCCTTTATTGGGTCACTTTGAAGAGATTGACGAGCCTGTTGCCAATCAGAACAAAACTGCTGATAAAAATTCCAACACCCTGTTTGACTTCGTCATTCCTCGTCAGCATGAATGTTACACGCCGGCCGACACGAGCAACATCCAGCAGACATTGACAAGTCATGATGAAAGTATCGCATCGTCTTCTCAGCAAGATGAACATGCTGCTGAATCATCATGTGCAGAGATTGAAACTGCGAGTGAAGATGACGTGCCAGAGGCTGAAACATTTTTAGAGGCGGAGGAATCCTTTTACGAGCCTATACCCGAAGAAGAGGTTAGCGATGTAATCGAGACAGATCGTCAAGTCAACGATATAAATGAATCGAGGCCAGACCGTAGAGACGATTCGTCTTTATCTGCATCTGAGATCGAGGCTGAAGGCAGGATGACGCTACGAGACCGATCAAATCTCAGGCCACCGGCTAGATACAAAGACTTCATTTGCAACATTTGTATGAATGGCAATTCGATAAGCGATGAAAATCGAAAAGAGCCAAGTACATTTCAAGAAGTGATGGCATCTAAAGATTTTGATGAATGGAAAAAGGCAATGGATAATGAAATTAATTCTCTAAAAGAAAATGAAACATGGGAAATGGTAGATTTACCCAAGGGCAGAAAAGCGATCTCAAGCAAGTGGATTTTTAAGATCAAGACGAATCCTGACGGATCGATTGATAAATACAAAGCCAGACTTGTAATAAGAGGTTTTTCACAGAAGAAGGGTTTAGATTATTATGAAACCTTTAGTCCTGTTGCAAAGACAAGTACCATAAGAGCATTACTCAGTATAGCTGCTCAAGAAAATCTCTCTCTATGTCAGTTCGACGTTTCAACTGCCTTTCTATATGGCAAATTGAAAAAGGAAATTTATATGAAGCCTCCAGAAGGATATTCAAACAATGATGGTAAAGTTTGCAAACTTAAACGAAGTCTCTATGGACTTAAACAAGCACCGAGGTGCTGGAACTCTACTATTACTGAGCACATCCTCAAAGTTGGCTTCATACAGAGTGAGGGTGACCCCTGCTTGTTTAAAAGAGAGGGAAAGAACAAGTTATTAATAGCTTTATATGTTGATGACGGATTGATAGCGTCAGCAAGTTCAAAAGAAACTGAAAAGTTTTTGGACGAAATGCGTCAACGCTTCAAAATCACAACGAAATGCGGTTCCTATTTTCTTGGAATTGAAATAGAACGTAAGGTTGATGGGTCAATCAAAATTGATCAAAAGAGCTATGCAAAGAAGCTACTGCAAAGATTTGGCATGCAGAATTGCAAAGCTGCAGTAACCCCAATTGTTTAAGATAACGTGCTAGCTTCGAAAGACAATACGGATATCCATGACTTTCCATATCGACAGGTTGTTGGAGCATTATCCTATTTGATGGTTGGCACTAGACCTGACATTGCTTTTGCAGTTGGAATAGTGTCACGGAAGCTAGATAATCCAACATCAGAAGATGTAGCGAGAGTTAAGCGAATTCTACGCTATGTTAAAGGCACCCTAGAGTATGGTATAACATACAAATCTTCCACTGTAGAACGAGGCTTAAGATGCTACAGTGATGCTGATCATGGTGGTGATGAGACGACTGGACGCTCCACCAGCGGCATGATTTGCCTCAACGCCAATGGTGCAATAGCATGGCAGAGTAAACGTCAGACTACTGTCGCAATATCTTCTACAGAAGCTGAAATAATTGCAGCAAGTGAGGCCGCCAGAGAAGTTATATGGCTTAAACGGATCATGAACTTCATGCAGAGTAATACTCAGAAGGAGATTACACCACTCTTTATAGATAATGAATCCGCTATAAGATTAGCTTATGATCCACCTTACGAAGCACACCAGCGAACAAAGCATATAAGGCTTAAACATTTTTTCGTAAGGCAGTGTGTCCTAGAAAAGGATATAAAAGTTGAGAAGGTTGATACCAAGAATCAACTGGCAGACTTCTTGACAAAGCCATTATTTAAGCCTAGGCTTCTAGAACTATGCAAGCTAGCTGGAGCCTCCACTTAACCAACAGTTGCTTGAAGAGGAGACGGAATGTTAAGAAGGTTATATACATCAGTTACAAATTGTCTATCTTTAATATGATGATGTTACCTAGCAACTGTTGTTAATTTTTGTAGTCAAGAATAAATTTGTCAATAACAGAAACTTGCTTTCCATATTATGTTTTATTTTATTATATTAAAGATAATTAAAAAATGAATCGTAAAGAACGCAATATATATCGCGATCGCTCACGTACTACTAGATCGTACCGATGTATTGCAAGTATGTATAATTTTGAATCTGCGATTGTGTCGTCTTCATCTACAAGCTACATAATACTTCTGTAATTATTACTAATATCACTTGTATTTTAAGGTTTTGCACTTTTGCACTGCGTTTTTCATTCGTAGGATTTCACAATAAGAGCGGGACTGTTGGCCGGTTAAGATAATGTCGGTTGACGTATGAGCGTTGATCACATGCGTGGCGCATCGGCCCCGCCCACAAGGCCCTTCTAACCTGTTTTAACTGTTCTGTGTCATATATTATATAAAATAGCATTCCAAATTTTTAAAAAATACACGTGTTTATACTTACAGAAATTTAATATATTGAAAGGTAGTGCATTTATTTTCGGCGAAGTACATTTTCAACTATTACTTATACGATTGGAATATTTAGGTAATTACCAGAAAACTAGGCTTTCACGATTAATAAGTAAATAAATTCAAGAGAGCTGAATAGTTTCCTAACTTATCATATAAATTAAATTTAATAACAGAATTAAAACATTGTAACAAAAACAATTCGTACATACAATTTAATAAAAATTAATGCTCATTACATACATCATCATACATTACCTAATTAATAGTATAATTATTGTAAACTAAACAACATTGAACTATGCCACAATATTCTAACCAACAATATTAGAATTAATAACCACTATGAATATAGTGCGGCAATAACTACTTATTTGGTATGTTTATATAAATATGTGAATAAAAACAATTTAATGTAAAATAAAATTGCATTATGTCACAAAATTTTGACTTGGTAAGAAATGATTTTAATTCTTAATCCTTTTCTCAAATATGTGCTCAAATATGTGCAGTCTGCGCAATGTTCCTCAACTTAACATCTAAAATGTAGGATAAAATTGGTTAAAAAAAAAAGTGAACATTTCATTTAAAACATAGTATCCATAATTTTGGTTGTAGCCTCGCGCCAAACCCACCTTGTCGCACTTTATTAAACAAAGTTATAAATGCATTCAAATTATTATATACTTATAGATACATTACAATCACCCAAAAAAAGTGCTTTGCCAAATGCTTAATAGTAGATACGTTTGATACGCAACATCTTGTATAATAAATTATTCAGTGTGTAATTAATAAATAGTCTTAAGATTCGTGCTATCAGGTAAATGTGAAATTAAATAATGAATAGTCCTCATGTACTAATTCAATTTGCTTATATCTTACAATACATACAACCTATGAGTAGAATATGCTGACCATATATGTAAAGTCTATAGTATTGTAATCAATAGGCGGGCAAACACTGGAATTTAATTAAATCTATTAACCAAATTATAATTAGTATATGTATTTACACAATATCAATGCCTCATTATAAAAATAAATAATTTCAGGCGACAACTATTTATAAGTTTTATAAGTTTAAATATTTTTTTATTGGATTAAACCAGTTCATTATAGGTTAACTTCTATAGACCAAATATTTTATAAATAGTGTACTCTGTAGAGGATTAAAGTGTAACTTATTTGATCCACCAAATAAAAACAAATAAACTAAGTTTTGTAAAAATAACTGAACAATATTACTAAACAGAAGAAGAAAGTTGGGACTCTATAACATTTCCAATAATGAAGTGGTTTAGTTCTATGTCTAATATAGCACAATCTGACACATATTATTTGGTAAATAGTTAAAATTTATTGCATATTTATTTTATCATCGAATGTAGCTATTTAGCTTCAATTTCGCAGTTGCCATTTTGTTTAACATGTTGCTGTTCATTTTTCAACTTTATAATGGCAGTCTCCTTTTGTTCCTTGCGTGAGTTTCGCACTTCGAATTCAAGTCGATGACGTATTATTCGTTGTACTATGTCCTCCGTGGTCATAGTGTTGCCAGAGTTCAATATCTATGAGAAAGATCAATAGAACTGTTATAGTGAGTTTTGTTTGAGCGTATGATGTTTCTGCACAACAATACAGAGTAGTTTTAAAATTATTTGTATGAAACAGTTTTAGAATAGCCATATTTCTTTATTTTTTATTATAGATTTTTATCGTTGAAAGCAAAATCTGTACTGAGGGTTTCCAATTAGAGAACTCTACTAAAAATAAACGAGAAAAAATTAAGTGAATTATATTATTAACTAACGAATTACCTTAAAACATCCACGTTGCTTAGGAACCTTGTAGGGATCAGATTCATCAGCGTCAGTCGCTATGGTGGTGCGTCCATGGCACACCACCTTGACTCGGAAGTGATCCATAAGGTCAGCTGTGACGCTATACGGCGCACCAATTACCACTTCATGAACATACTGCAAAAAAGGTAAATCTCAATGCAGCTAACATGCAAGCATAAATTTCCAAAAAGTCTGGGATTAGTAACACTTTTAAAATTGAGGTTCATGAATAACACATTAAGTATGGCAAGCTTCAGTAAGTACATCAATAGTAGTAATATAGGTTTTGTTTTTTTGTTATTTGGATGACAGGCAGCTAATATCCTATTTCAACATGTCGGTAACTTAAAAACCCCGGTTTATTACACACAATATAATGCTGAAGTGCAAAAAAATAACCTTGCAGGCAAGAACTGACAGCACGCGTTCATGTAGATTCATAATCGGATAGTTTGATCCTTTGTATCTGTTCACTTCAAGGTCGGTGTGCAGGCCCACGATTAGAAAATCGCCTTGTTTGTGTGCGGCTTCTAAGAAATCGAGGTGTCCTACATGAAACAGATCAAAAGCACCCGCAACGTATACAACCTGTAACAAAAATCGTATTTTAAAAGTTAAGAAGGATCATTACGCATATTATGCTTTTTATAAACGACAATCACTGCTCCAAAAGTATTGTATTGTATTTAGTCGTGTAAGTAGTATAGCATGCATAATTTACTACCCCCCTGAAAGTGTATCGCTAAAGTTTATTAATAATAATACCTAGACACATGTCTCACACGGCTCTCTTATACCAAACTAGGCAGAGCCTATTATGATAACCTGTAAAACCCTATTTGATAAACTTACTTATATATTATTATAGTAAATACATATTATAGACAAATTACACTTACACCGAGACACAGAACAAATGATCATCTCTCATCACACAATTATTTGTCCTGGGTGGGAATCGAACCCAATACCTCTGACACTTGACCAACAGCCTTCTTATTTTATTTATTTTTTAGATTATTCAATTGCAAATAAAGGTTTAAAACATTTATTTGCGTTTGAATAATCTATTGTTTGACAAACACAGGTGTTATATACACGGTGATTTTGAAAGCGTTTTGGAAAAGAAAATTTTTAATTATTTATCAGTTAATTATTCAACGTTAATTTAATAATATATACACGGTGATTTTGAAAGCGTTTTGGAAAAGAAAATTTTGAGTTATTTATCAGTAACAGAAGCTATATATAACGTTAATCTAATAAAATATATATTTTTTTATCATCAAAGTCGATATTCATATCGTTTACAGAGAAAAAGTGAGAACCAGTAGTAGGGCTATTCAATCACACGTAGGTAAATACTACGAATAGAAATACTATGCGTTTTAATATCGAGTCACATAAAATCGTATTCACCAATAAAAACAAAGCTACCGAGTTGCGCCGGAGTCGTCCAACCAATGACGTCTGCCCCGTAGGCGCATGCGCGGGACTCACCTGTGATAGTAAGGCGTCCTTCGCTTTCAGTCGGTCAGTAATACCATAACATCGTGACGGCACGCTACATTGATTAGCGCTAAAATGAGTCGACAGTACGAATTTTCAAACGTGGAATACTTCTTGTCAATGGTACAGCTGTACGCTACTGCCAACTACAACTTGGAAGAGGCTCGGCGTTTGTATTCCCAGCCGGAGCATTTAAATGCACTACGGCTACGTGGAATTGAAAGCCCTCAAATTCCCTCCACACCTATCTTGGCTGCAACCCAACGTCTTCTCGACCACGGACAATTTTGTGCGCCTACTCACGCGCAAGGTCAAGGACGTTAAAATTATTATTCGCCGGAGTGTAGTGCGTGCATACCTGGGCAATGAGTTTAGTAATCGGTGGATAGGTCGAGGAGGGCCAGTGCCTTGGCCACCTAGAAGCTCGGACATAACGCCTCTGGATTTTTTCTTATGGTCGGAAATAAAAAGAGTTGTTTATACACGGGAATATGAAAGCCGTGATAATTTACGCATTGCGATAGTGGACGCTTTTGATAAAGTGAAAAGTGATAGACACATTAAGAAAATTAAAAAACAATTGCATTAAACGTGGACGTTTGTGTATTGAATGCAGCGGACTCATTTTGAGCAGTTCCTTCGATACAGAGAAGTGTAAATAGTGTAAATAGGTATGTAAGTTAATTATTCTGTAGATAGCTTCGATTTTTTAAATACGCCTGAAATATTTATACCTACAGTCCGTTGATAAATTGATTTGTTGTGAAAAGAACAATCGTGGTTAATAATCGAAAAGAAGTTTAAATAAAATAGGTATTTCCGACGGTCCTAAGCCCGTGTAAAGTATGAAGGACAAATTGGAGTCTATCTACGTAAGTACATTACAATTGATTTAATCATTTTTATTGGTACTATAGATGATTCCAAATTAAAATGTTTCGTTTCCAAAACGCCTATAAAATCACCGTGTATATTGCACCAGGGACTTCCTTTCTAGGGTATACCTGGTTCCCCGGCTATTGGTACCCGAGACGGCGTGCGGTTTTAGTCGGTTTGAGTCCGACATGCCACCGATAGGTGGTATCAGAGGGGATTTCCGCACGAAAAAAAAAAGGTGTTATATATATATTATACAAGGTATTATTAGGCTGAAAACACCAACGGTTAGCGAGAGGCTAATCTCAAGAATGTTTTATGCAATGAGCGGAGACAGGTCAGTGCGGAATAAATTTCACTTTCTTGAACTAAGGATATAAGATAGTCCATAACCAATACTAAAAAAATACATAATGCTAGCAAGCACCTACATTTCACAAATCGGTCAACACATCTACGGTCTGCGAAGTCGGAGGGGCAGCGGTGCGGCCCTCGTCTTGGACCGGGTTGCGTGCGTGGTATACCATGGACATTTGTATGTATTACGCCGCAGCGGCACCACTTAGGCACAGCGGCGTAGCCGCACCGCATCTTGTGGCGTCTACCTTAGCCGGAATGCGACGTGACGTTGCGGTTTACCGCAGGATACACACGGTTATTGCGGCTGACCGTATACGCAGCGGCGAGCCGCAACACATCATGCGTTTTCATATAAAAGTCGATGTGCGGCTAACCAACTTCAATTTTTATATGAAACATGATGTTAACGCACAGACGTGCGGTGAACCGTCTTAATTTGTGGCTAGCTCGAGATTGCGGCGGGCCGCAGGCGCCGTTTCCTGCCCTAGTCCGTCGCTAGACGATGTAGGTAGGGGTTGTTATCCTGAATTTTAATTAGCTGTCGCATGTTTGTTATTGATTTGGCTCGGAAAAGTTTATTTTACACAGACTTAAGCTTAGTCTCAAAAGTTTATAAGTATGTTTAATATGTATATGTGTGCATTAAGTATAATTAGCTGTCGCATGTTGTTGTTCATTTTACTCAGCCTTAGGCTCAAAGGTTTATAAGTCTGTTTATCAGCGGTATTGTTCGAGCGGTGTTGCTGGAGATCTCCCTTTACTGCGAACTAGATTATGCAGCCATACTAACGAACTCTCTACGAAGCCGTTATTGTTCACATTCCGGTCATAACAGGTTTTCATCTTCTCACACATTTGTGGGTCCGATTCATTGGCAAGTTATTCGCGTACCAGTGATCAAATCTGCGGGCAACCGAAGTTTGCGAAAGCTGATGTTACTGAAGTACTTTCGTGAACTGCACTTCGGTATGACAGAAGAAACGGCTGGATGTGTTTGTCCCAATCTCTTTGCCTACTTGCCACAACTTTTGCCAGATACCTCTCCAGTGTTTGGTTAAATAGTTCCACCATTCCGTCCAATTGTGGGTGGTAAGAGGTTGTTCTGGTTTTGTGAGCACCCATTACTCTACACATCTCTTGAAATATTTGAGACTCAAAATTTCTACCTCGGTCACTGTGAATTTTTTAAAGGCACTTCAAAACGACAGAAGACTTCGTGCACTAATTTATCTGCAACTGTTGAAGTCTCTTGGTCGGGAATGGCAAAGATTTCTGGCCACTTAGTGAAGTAATCCATTACAACCATGAAGTACTTGTTTCCGCTTTCACTTTCAGGAAACGGCCCCGCTACATCTATTGCAATCATTTCCCATGGTGCACCAAAGTTGTACAATTTCAATGCACCCCTGCTACGTGTATGGGGCCCCTTCACGGCCGCATAATTGCGACAACAGTCCTCAACATCATCACGACAGTGAATCCAGTAAAATCCTTATCTAAACAAAGTCCTCTTAACTCCCATGTGGCCTCCTGAACATCCGTTATAGTAGAACTGCAGGACAGTCGGTATCTTAGCTTTAGGGACAACCATTTGCAGATGACAGCTGTCTCCTCTAGCGTTTTCCCATTAGCTCCAGTGAGGCTTAGGACTATCAGCTTTAAACCATTCGAGAATTGGCTTGATATCTGCATCCTCCAGCTGTGCTTGCTGTAGGCCCTCCTTCCATGCATCGCTAAGGTTCGTCTTTAGCGTCTTCACAGGCACAGCTTTCTTTACTTCTTGCTTGACACAGTGCTTGCAATCTTAAGGACAACGACGCGTCTGCGTTACCATGAGATTTTCCACTGCAATGTTCAATCACGAAGTCATATTCCTGTAGTAGCTCAATCCATCTCGCGGCTTGTCCTTCAGGATTTTTGAATGGTAGAAGCCACTTAAGTGCCGCGTGGTCAGTTCGGAAATGGAATTTACGCCCAAGCAAATATTTGTTGAAATGTTGAAGTGTCTTCACTAAGGCTAATAACTCTTTTCTCGTGACGCAGTAATTCCTTTACGGTCTCGACAAAGATTTACTGAAGTAAGCCATAACAACTTCCTGATCACATTTCAACACCGTCTAGTATCACTCGCATCTGTGTCAACTATGCATTTTTCTTAGACGTCTTTTTAGTTCTTGGAATGCAATGTCATAACTTTCATCCCAGCAAAAATGTATTTTTTCCCCAGTAAGTTTATGAAGGGGTTTCGCAACACCCGCAAAGTTTTTCACGAATCGCCGATAGTAGGAGTACAAACCCAAAAATGCTCTTATTTGGGTCTTATCCCTTGGATCCAATCAATCAATCCTTGACGGCGGCCACTTACAACCACATATCCTAAAAAGCTTACTTGCCGATTGAAAACTGAACACTTCTTAGGACTTAACTTTAGGTTGGCGCTTTGGATTTTTCATTCGTTGGCGTTCCAGGTTTTGAATATGTTCTAGAAACGTACGGCCACGATAATAATGTCATCCAAATAGACCAGACAGGCGTCTCCGGTTAATCCGGTGAGTACTAGCTCCATCAGTACAAAGGGCATAACTTTGAACTGCCACAGTTCCTTCCCCGTAGAAAATGCAGTCTTATCCTTGTCCTTGGGATCACTATCGACCTGCCAGTATCCACTTTTCAAATCAAAGGTGCTAAGCCCCTTTACCGCTGTTAGCATGTCTAGTGTCATCTATTCTTGGTAATGTGGGTAGCTGTCCTTCTTCGTAATGTCGTTCAAACGGCGGTAGTCAACACAATTTTTTTTTTCTTTACAAGCACTACAGGTAACACCATGGGCTGGATGAAGGCTTGCGTAGACAAAACATCTCGACAGTCTTCAAAAAGTTTTGACATGTTGATTCGTGCATCCTTACTAATATTTGCAGTAGTCAGGTCTTGGCATCGACGCATCCAATCCACATCCTCGCCACTGCCTGTTTGGCGTTATGAAGTACATGTTACCTATCACTGTAGAGATGTATATTACTTACCAGAGTTCGTGCGATTGTCCATGAAAGGTCAATATCTAACCTTTTAATAAGTGCACACCGATGCAATTTTCCGGAGTTATGAGGAAGACTAACTAACATGATTGTTTCTGATCTGGGAGGAAGAATAACTTTCTTTAAGCAGTTCACTGTTCCTGATGGTGCCCCCTCCATGAACAGTTCTTCTTGACTACATCTCATTACACCTTGCTTAATGTCGATCTCACAACCATTCTTCCTCATGAAGTCTAGGCCAAGGATGCAGTCGTCAACTATACCAGCCACGATGACGTTATGCAGATCAAATTGGTTGCCCAACTTCAACTTCTGTTCGCCTCGGACGAGTATGTGCTAACTAGTGGCTGGCAGGTAAGAGGTCTATTCGCTCACGGTTCCATGTGATGGCCCTCAGAAACCGATTTGCAAGTTGTGAACTGACAACTGTGCGAGAAGCTCCCGTATAAATCGTCGATCGATGGTCTTGTTTCATGGCTTCTACCTCCAAAGCATGCGCTTGAGAGTTTCATGGTGCCCAAGCCTCACAGCAGCTCTCACCTCAAGGTCACGAATGCGATCGATGAAGGCTTGCATCATATTCTCGTCAACGAGCGCAAGTGCAGACTGGTATGCCTTACGGACCAGTTTCTCAACTTCCAGGGCCCATTGTTGCAAGTTTTCACCGATGCGTTGGGCACGATCCTTCAGTTGCGCACGAAACACGTGCTCCAGGTGAGTGTCACCATATCTTGCCTCCAATGCTTCCAGCAGTTGCTCATACGTTACCTGCTTACCGAAGGCTTCGAGGACGGTAAACCCCTCATCCCGGAGACCCAAGGTGAGCGCGTCATGGGCATTAGTCCAGCCATTCGCCGTCATAACAACCTGCCAGCAAACTGGATCTTGTACTAAAGGCTGACAACGAAGATGTTCCACCAAACGGCGACACTATGAACCCTCGCATCGAAGGAGCAGCAGTTACCGTAGTCGCCGTCCAGCTGTGAGGTTCCCTAAGGCCTTCTTCACGTCTGCAATCTGGATTTTGGCTTCAATGAGACGGTTCTCGTGGTCATGGACCCTGATCCTTCCCTACCTTGAGTTCTTTGCCGAAGGTGTTATGAATGCCTTTTAACAAAAGAATCTGCTCCTCCTGACGGCGGGCCCGGTCCTCCTCGTCGCGCTGCAGCTGCTCTTCCAAGCGACGGGCCTATTCGTCCTGACGGCGGGCCTGCTCCTGGAGCATCACTATTAGAGCGGTGATTGCTGGAGCCGCTGACGATGTGGCTTCCATTGCTGGCTGCTGGCCCTCCAATGTAGGCAGTTGTGCACCACCAAATCGCCTCTGGTCAGCCTCATGCTGGCGCTGGCTAATTAGCTTGTTAATCGTAAATATATTGTCTTATTGTAAATTAAGTACTATATCAACTTGCAATAGTGTAAATATTAAAATAAAGTACTTAAAACTGCTCAATATTAGTATATAGACGAGTTTTATGCACTTTACTTTAATATATAGTAAGCCTCCTAGTTTATGCCGATAGGTCCTCAAGTTTCGGTGCCCAGGGTACGACTATTATCCAAGGGTTGGCTAGTTTGGTTATTACATTGAAGCGATTGGCAACTGACCTTCGTTAGCCTTAGACAAGGGAACCAGATGAATTGGATCATGGTTACACATCTAGACATTCTAGATGTGCTGGTTTTCTCGCGATCCCAAAAAATCCCTAGTTACTTCTCATCCTTAGTTACTTAGTTGCGTGCCTGAGATTGATCTTTCAATTGCAGCGCGGTCTTATCCACTGGACTACCATCGCCCTAAATAGCGGATCACTATATGTTAATTTTTCTATAGACTATAAATTCCTTATTAGCAGACTTGTTAGCTGCTACTTAGGAACTAATAAGTAAACCATAAAAGAGTAAAAATACTTACATAAATGTTTATGTATGCATTTTGCTGACGAGACGACGAAAACAAAAATTATGATTATGTTATATAATAACGCCCCCGCAGACGGTAGAATGACTCTGATGTAAGGGATTTGGAGGATGGAAGAATTTTACGCATTAATCGAAGATTTACTAGAAGATCCAGGTATGATATTATAAAAAAGTGGGTGAGTTAAGAAATAAATACAAAGTGGTAATTACGAGGTCAAAAATACGACCAATTAATAAGTTTTACACACTTCAACACACCTTATCGGTAGGTTTAGGCGAAAGGCCGCTGCTGAATTGTATGATTTTCTGTGTGGTGGGCAAGAATTTTGAGCATCCCGTATACGGTGACCGTGCTGTGGAATCTGTACCGAGGTTTGACGAATGCTCCAAAGCCACTGTGTACTCTTTGTCACCTCTTCTGAAAAGTGATAAGCCTTAAGTGTAATCAGCAATAACAGGTAATGATACATATATATGAATTATAAGATTCTAACAGTTATGAATGGCAGTGGGATACAATAAATGATGTTTGATATACTATATGAATGACAGAATTCTAACTAGATATAATTATGATTCGATAGATAATAAAAGGATATTCTATAATAAATAGAATCAACAAAGCTAAATGTTTACTGTATTTTTAAATTATTATAATAAATAACCAATTATTTTACTGAAGAATCTGCAAAAAAATAATATTTTTACTTTTTTATTTAACTACATAAATAGATAGTAATGTACTATTTTTAATGATACACTTTTAATAACATCTATTTCCTAACTCAAATCAACAACTTAATATGAATACGGCTTTAATGAGAAGGCGAGGGCAAAAAGTTAAAACATCTCACCAGCAGAACATCGCATAGAAGTCGGAGGACCCTAAAATTACGTATAAACACTTTCTCAGCATTGAATACGTCAAAGTTAACGTAAAGTTAGATAACGTTTAAATCTTAATTTTAAACGTTCCATAATACTATACTAAATATGCTACTTAGAACAAAGAATGTTTAAATACAGTTGAACAAGTTGCAAACCACGACCTCACCCATGGTTTGACTAGTTAGTTGCAACATTTATTCAAACTGAAAAACTAACTTAAGATTGTTGCCAATATTCGGCTACACCAAAAGTTGACAACACTGAAAAAAAAAAACTGTTTTCATGTATTTTAGTTATGTGAGTCAATAATAATTAATCATGCCTGAACGCGTCGACTAGTTTTGGATAACCGGTTATCGGGTTAATAGATCTGTTATGTGCTAGAAACGGTTTAATGAACTACCTATTAACAACGATGATGTTTAGTAAAGTAATATTGGCAACAACATAAAAATATTTACGCGGTAAAAATCAAATTACTATCACATAACAAAAAAAAACTGTTATAGTAAAACCAGAAAAGAACAAAAACGGCGGCAGAAAAATGCATTTTTTGTTTTGTTTCATATTTTGTTAATACTGACTAGTATTGCAGTTTGTCTTTTTTTAAAAATTAACCAAGAAAACCGATAAAATAGTACCTAATATTTGATTCATAAACATATTTCTGTCATATTTTATCAAATTAATGTTTCGCAATAATTTAAGTTGGGGTTATCGTCATCATCATTGACGTTTAGACATCATTAAATATTTTAATAACTATTCGGTCCGTCGAGCAATAATCTTCGCTGTGTCTATCAAAACAGTAAAGACATGTATATTACAAATATACCATTTCATAACAAACGTACATGACAATGTTTTGAACGGGTAATGTAAATTATTATTACTTGAAATGTTCTCTAGTGAGGAGCAGCATACGTCCGACCAAATCTGTTGTAGAAACACCGGCTGTCCTTTGTACCTCCCTGAAAATTTCATAAGAGTGAATTAATCAATGTACTTTAGGAGTAATGTGTAAATCTAAGTACGTACTTATATTTTTTGGGTTTTACACTTTTCATAAATATTCCATATTCAAGGCAAAATAGTCATAAAAAGAACATTTCGCATCATTTTAAAAGTAAAGTAAAACAAAAAGTATTTTATTTCAAATTCTCGTAGAAGTAATTTTATTGGTTAGTCGGAGCAAAGAAATTGCCTATAGTTAGAAGTAAAAAGTATTTCTGTAGTGATATATTTGTTAAAATATAACCAGAGGTGTACCAGCCGGCCGCTATTCCTTTTGCCAGTAACAAACTATTTTTCCATATATCTATCCTTATCATTTTACCTTGATTGTAGACAATATTAACGACACAATTGTCATATTTAGGCATTATCTATCACGCGAGTCTAGTTTTTACGGTTCTATTCAAATAAAAAAAGTGGTTTATGTTTATATTCTTTTAATTTGTAACAAGGACGATTGCAGGAAACGACTTTTTAATATTATTAGCGACACACGTCCGGTAGTACTTCACTAGTGTATCTATATTATCTATATACTAATTGAAAATATAGATTGCTCTTTCACGATAAGTTAAGCTTAAGAATACTGACAGACCATATCACTACTGAGAGACGGGAGCTATATATGTATGTAGCTCCCGTCTATCAGTAATGATATGGTCCTCGACGTCATGGACATGGATTTCAGCATCCTCTCAGCCATAGGACGTATCCTACTCAATAACTTCCGAAAAGACAATTTTAAAGCGGCTTGAATCTACCATCGACCTTTGAAATGTTGGACTGGTGGACCAAAACCAACAAGTTGGACTGATAATCTTTAGGTCAACTTGTTGGTGGACGTACTACGCTGCCCTTTCCGGTCCGTGGTCTACACTAAAGAACCTTTTAGCCTTTTTGGTTATTAATTGGTAGCGGGACTTTTGGTACTTTACATAGAATGATAATTACCATGGAATTTGATGTCATCAAAAACTTATTCTAAAATTAGACACACACAAATAGTAGATGCATGCACTACCGCCGCGTCTGAGAGGACCGCCACGCCGGCATCGCGGGTTTGAATCCCGCTTAGTGCTAATATTTGTACGCATTAATACAAAATATTGGTATTTCTATGTATAATATGTAGGTAAATAATAAATAAATAGTACAAGCTCTTTTTAATTTGGTATTATTACAAATTGAAGTAGCGTTACTTACGAAGCGAACTTATGGTCAACTATTAGGGGGCTGTCCATTAATTACGTGAGACATTCAGGGAGGGGGTAGGGGCTAGAGCGGAATCTCATCTAACCTTACTTTGGGGGTCTCGGCAAATATCACGTAATTTTTTATCAGCAAAAACCAGAGTAAAATTGCGAGAAAACTGGGTTAAATTGATTAAAACATGTCTCTCCACGGAAATATGGCCAAATCTTATTAATATTTATCATGGTGTTGCGAGTGCCTCGAAGTTGCACAGTAGCCCGTCGTTTGTTAAGCCAGCCTTTACACTAAAAACACATTTATAAAAATCTCACGTGTGATTGGGGGATTGTGTTGAATCCAATCTCACGACATCTAACGGGGGGGAGGGGGGTCAGAAAAAAATCGCCGAAAGCTCCTCACGTAATTAATGGACGCCCCTTTGCGAGTTAAAACCCTACTTAAATGAACCCACGTGTTATAACAGCATTTCAGCATTTCAGATTAGCTGGAGGGGTTAACGAAATACTAGTAATGTGTCCCGTATTACTAGTATTCTAAAACAAAATAGGCACTAGCAAAATGTTTTAAGATTTCAAAATATGTCTTATTACATAACAGGTTATGTATGGTTTTAATGATATAACCTGTTAGTATTATGTGCAGTAGTAAAAATTTACAAACCAGTTTTACTTTTAATTAACAAATAATTTACATTTTAGTTTTTATTTCCAATCAAATGTGTTTTGTTACTTTCATATAAAATCAATCAATTTCGGAATCTAGTGTCAAATACTTTTTTCTGATTGAGGTACCTTTTGTCCTTCACCCCTGACAAATTATGTGACGATCTGTTCATTACTAAGAAATTGACATTCATAATATTAATAATAATAACTTGGCATATCTCACGTATGGTCATTACTACTGATCCCACACTAGGCAGAGCCTGTACCACTGCTGTAGACTGCTAAAAACATACATATATCTTTATATATATAATTCTTCTGTGAGTGTGTATGTCACTGAACTTCTCTCAAACGACTGGACCGATTTTGATGAAATTTTTTGTGTGTGTTCAAGGGGATCTGGGAATGGTTTAGATTCACAATTTTGTCCGCTGGACAATGTTTTTTTAATTAATTTTTAATTTATTAGTAGTTGTTGATTTTGGAATGTTTTACATTGGATCAGACAGACGGCGCTACCATCGCAGTGTCAAATTTGACAGGACAACGTCTGTCGGGTCCGCTAGTATATATATATATTACTAAATACATATACTATAGATAAATTACACCCAGGCACAGAACAAATGATTGTGTTCATCACTCAATATTTGTTCTAGGTGGGAATTAAACCCACAACCTCTAGCTTAGCTGTCAGGGCCACTAAGCACTCAACCAACAGGCCATTCAATTTGTTAGGATTTTTAAACTATATTCAATATTTATAAGTAATTTATTGATGGTAAAGAATCTGTTATAAAATTATATGTTTACCTGTATCTGTCTGCTTTTTTCACTAAGTGATATGTATCAATTCCATCAGCAGTCACTGTAATATCATCTGAAAAATATAAATGTAAATTATGTTATGATCATACCAAAGATCTAATAAACAATATTATTATTATACTTTTAAGATATGCCAGTAGCAATATAAATTAAAATAGCTACAACTATACCATTATCTTGAGTTCGCTTTCATTATGTTTAAATGTTTAAAAACCAAATCCTAACATAAATTCAATTTGTTGAGTTCTATATGTCATAACTCAAAACTTTTCTTTTTATGAAATAATTGCTTAGAATTGAATGTTCAATTTATTGAGAAAATTAAATTAAGTCTATTAAAAGTTTCTTATAATTTATTAGTTACAGGCAATTAACACATTGACAAGCTTGAAGCTGTTGTTGGGTAACACATCAAGGATGACTTATATAACGGGTAATTTGTTATTATATAACACATTTTTTTACTATAGTAGGTATGTCAATGGTGTTAACAAACTACACTGTAATTTTTTTATATTATAATAGTTACAACATCAAGACTTTTTTTTACTTTTTGTCAATTAGGAAAAAACGTTTTCTATATCAGCAACTTCATTTAGCTAAAAAAAGTATTTCAAGGTAAACAAACACAGTACTGAAATAAAAGTTGTTTTGAATTTATTGCTAAACTTCAAAAGTTAAATGTAATATAATCAAATATGGTATCATAAAATAGAAACAATTTCCTATGACATTCTGATAGTATTTTTAAAGTAAATTACTTGATTGATTGCAATAATGACATATACAATAAATTTATTCTCCTAGTCTTTGCTTAAAGTTATTTCTTTGAGTTTATTTCAATGTTTTCTCTAGAGGTGATTTTTTTATGTTGTTGCATTTTAACATTCATAATATAATAGCTAACAACAAACCAGGGTTGTAATACAATTTACTATATTGTTTAAACTTTTTTATAATTTAAGCGAGTGACACCGAGTTTGTTTGCCAAACTGTACCTCAAGAGATTTTTCAGTACAGATTTAGGTTTATATCCATTGTTTTAATAGCTTTACTTTTTACTAAGAAATTAATTATTGTGGTAACTCAATGTGTTTAGCTATAATTTACAATATACATATAATTGTGAGCAGTTTTGCATGGTGAAGTTTCTGCTTATGGCAAACAATCGCCAACAGCATTTGGTCCATGAAATGAATATTTTCGCATAGTTCCAAAATCATTCCTTAATAAGATAATCCCTCCCCTTCCTAATAAGATATTCCCCTAAGAAATTATTAATCAATAAATAAATAATGTATACAATTCTTTATTTTTCATGTTAATGGACAATCTTTTGTACAGTCATACCATGAAACAGTTACCTCCATGTACACAGAAATCACACTGATACTTGTCCAGTGTCTCAAGTGTAGTGACATAAGGTGCACCTTCTACCACCTGGTCCACCCACTTGATGGCACGCACCATTTTATATCGCTCCTCCTGCGTAAAAACAGGCGGTCCTTTATGCTTCGAGATTTCTTCATCTGTATGAACCCCTACAATCAAAACATCGCCCAGTGCTTTTGCTTGCCGTAACGAGTTTGCGTGACCAAAATGTACCATATCGTAACTGGAAACAAAGATATATGATAGAGAACACTGAAACTAAATCTTCAGTGAATTATAGGAAATTGCGGAAAACGCATGTTTTTTTTTTGTTACTATTCGTACAGACGCAGAAAATTTTGAATACTTCGATTAAAATTGATATCTAAAACAGCCGGCATAAAACACTTATTAACAGAACTTTATACCGTAAACGCTTCTACATATTTTCTTTTCGTTTTACTGTAGGTTTTACATTACACTGATGTAAAAATAAAAATTCGATATTACTCACCACCCATCGCACCACACTCGAACTTGTTTATTATTAGTCTTATTTTCACCCATTTTTAAGTAATTTTGTAATGTTTCGCTATTATTAGACTTCGACTACTTCTTAATTTTGTTTTATTTTAATTTAATTAACTGCAACCACTCAACTAATTACTAACACCACCACTCTCCAGCGAATATTCTAATGAACTGATGAACTGTCATGTCATGTGTCAAACTGTCACTATCTCGTTTTTAGAATGTCGATTTTTTTAAAGTCTCGTCTCTCATCTTTGTCAGTACCTGTCGCCAGAGAATTTTGAAATGAAGAAAAGAGGCCCTACTCAAAATAAAAATAAAGAATACTCAAATCAGTCAGCAATCTAAACCTGTATTGTTAGAGTAGTTACGAAAATTCAAATATGCATTCTGGATGTTCTCATAAAGAGCCTAGACCACGGACACCTAAAACATTGCCAAAAAATTCAAAATAGTTCCTATATAAATAAATTCTGAATAGTTAACAAGTTCTGAAATATAAAGTTAAGAAACACAAAATCATTTTTATTGTTCTTATATAACGAGCTCTTACTGAGTCAAAAAGAAATAAACACAGCAACTTAAATCAACAAAAATGATACATCGCCGTTCCTCATGACGAGAATCTCGACAAGTAAAATATTTAGATTTATCTCACGAGTTTGTCGACATGTGGAATGTCGATTCGGTGATCATGATTCCGATGGGCGTATCTTTTTTTTATGGAAGAGGGGGTAAACGAACAGACAGGTCACTGCCATGAATGCCTGCAACTCAAGAGTCTTCCCAGCCTTTGAGGAAGAAGTATTCTCTTTTCTTGAATGAGGTACGGAAATATCGTAGACGATAACTTGTTCCACAGATTGGTTGTGCGATGCAAATTGTCTTGAAAAGCGCACATTGGAGTGCCAATTATCCAAGTGGTGGGGATGAAAATTTTGTCGTGTGCAGTACCGTCTTTACCATAACGGGGCCCTCGCCCAGCACCCCCATTGTCACGAGGGCCCCGAAAAGCGAATTATTCGCTTATACTATACATTTTTGTTCTATTTGAGATCAATATAATCCAACAAAAAAAATATAAAGTTAATTTGTTAGCGACTTGGAAACCCTTAGCAATGACGAGCCAATGACATTGCCGTATATCACAGAAAATGTGGCATTGCCAAACTTTCCAGATAGGAAATGGATAGTTCCGCGTTTCGCCTCCATCAATTTTTTTTATTGGGCTGTAAAATCGCCTTATGGCCTGGCTTTTCCTCATTTTCGATCTCTATATTATATTGATAATAGTTATGAAAGATCCGACACCTAAAAATTACCTATTATTATAATATTATAATTTTTGTCCCATGTGCAGTACAATCGTTAAATTTAGTAGGTATTCAAGCTGTTGAATGTGTGGTTATTGAATAAAGATACGGATCAAAGGAAAAAAAACGCAGCACATGCACCACTTTTTTTAAAAGATCATCAGAGACTGTAAAGTTATACGTTTATTGATATATTATATGCACATTCGAAAAATCGCTTGGCAGCATATTAAAAAAATGGCAATCGTTTTAGTGTTTTTTTTTCAGTTAACAACAATCGATTCGCTGATTAAAAACGCAATGAATTTTAAGAATTCTATCACCAAGACCTTAATGCATATGAGCTCAAATCAGAATGTTTTTATTTAAGGCTATATTTAAAGATCATACCAAGGGAATCAGAGGATTTGAGTAGCTCAAACTTACATAAACTAATAAGTAAAGCCTGATAAGTTACAAGAAACTTTTCTCAAATATTGAAATTGCTACCAGAATGTTTTTTGCTTTATGGTTACGACAATTGGTAACCGTGTGGAAAGCGCTTATTTTCACAGCTAAAGTTTTAATGTCCAATAGGACCCAAAATTGTTTTGTGCCCAGGGGCCCCAGCATAGTCTAAACCGGCCTAGGAAACTGGTACTGAGGTGCCTCTGTGTAGAGATGAGAAGTATTCCATATGCGGTCGGACTTATAAAGTTGGACTTATAGCCTTATAGAGTTGGAGGTGATGGGTCGAAGTGAAATACTGTCTCGATTTGTCCAGCACACCGAGCTCCTTTGAGGCCAAGTTGACTTTCCCTCTAAGTGACCAAGAAACTGCACTTCACTTGATATGTCGATGGCTAGGATTTCGATACTGGCTCAGTTAGTTAAAGAGGTGCTCTCAAACCGAGGTGATACGACAAACGATATTTTTTTTCTCTGCTCTGCTCACGGATTGATATCGAAGATTCTCGACCAACATGTTAACAGGCTCACATTAGACGGCTGGATCAAGGGTCTGATGCAAAAGGCAGTTTTTCTTGTTCCTGCCTTTACAGTCCTAACCACCGGTGTCTTGGTCCCTGTACCCGATGTCGGTGGTCTACAATTTTTATATTTTTGAGTACGTATTTTTTTATGTGTATTTTTAAAAATATAAATAATATGTGTATAAAATAAATAAAGATATTAAAAGTAATATTTTTGGACGTCTAACATAAAACGCCATTTAGTTTCAAACTAATCAGAACTTGTAATTTGAAAGCTAGATTGACTGACGGAATACCTACTTATATACTTTTTTTGTGAATTCATACATATTATACAAAGAAATCTTTACAGATCATACAAACATTTGGTCCGACCCGGGAGTCGAACTCGAGGCCTCAGCACAACAGTCCCATACGCTAATACTGCACCACCAAGTTATATATAAGCCAGATTTATTTATTACCTTCTTAGACGCAACATAACTGACTAAAATAGTGTCAATAAAGCTTTAATTTACAATGAAAATTTTATTTTTGACTATAATTTTGCTGACCTCTTCTTTTTTATAAAGGCGCTTAAAAGCAACTAGGGATGAAACAAATAACTTTTTAGCGGATATCAATCTTCCCTTAAAGCTGGACAGCCAGATATCTAATAATCAGTCGAAAATAGTCGATGGTCGTAAATTACTGATAAAAAATAAAATTTGAAAAAAAACCGTTAGAGCTCAATTAAAGAATGCATCCTACTCGTGAAATTATTGAGGCTTAAAGAACTTAACTCAAGATAGCATTGGAATGTTTAAAAATGTCTTGCGAACCCTCTAATCGCAGTTGGTTTTTAAAGAAGACTACACAAAAAGATAGGAGCCAGAGTGAGATGAATATGCTTAAAACTTATGACACCTGCGATACATTTTGTGAAATGACATATTAATTTAACTTGCATAATAATAAGCTTGGTACTACCGGTAATACTGGACCTGGACTCTGAAGAAATTGAATTAATAATAATGCCACTCGTAGCCTACTAAAATGTTAAGATGAAACTGATTAAAAGATCACATTGTTAAAATCTGAATTAGAAAGTTATTTAAACTTCATGCATAAAAATGCATAGCATAAACATAGCAGGGGCTTTTAAAGACTATCAAATAGCTGCCAAAGAGATAAGTCACAGTCAAGTACGGAAGGGAGATCTCTAACATGAATATGTTATAGTATTTGTTTTGATTTTTAGGTCTGATTTCAATGTCCTGTATGGAAATAATTGGTGATGGAAGCAATATTGGAATGAGAGACGGTTTGAAAATAGGTGAATTGCGACTGAGGGGATAGATTTTTGGTTTGACTAGGATTTTGCCTTTCTATGAAGATAAGCAAAACCTCTTAATACAGTGAATCGGTATAATTTATTCATTATTTATTTATGGGTCATATATAGACTTTAAACCATTCACATCTTGACTACGGTTTAATTACTTTAATATTGACATTCTGAAACTATTGGAGAAGATTGCAGCGTTTGGAAAGAAACTCACTGCAGTTGTGAATAAAATAAGGGTTCCGTTTTTTTTCTTTTGAGGTACGGAACCCTAAAAATGAATGAAGGTTTCGGTTAAGATTGCTTCCCGCAATCGTGATGATGTCGAAAAATTTGCGTGGATCCAAGATCCTTTCCATAGAGTAGCCTTAAAACTAGATTCACCAGTTCCGATTTGAGTTTGAGTTTTGGTTATCGGTTAAAATATATATCCAAATTTAACTACAAAAGCTTGAAGAATTTTAATTCCGTTTGCAACATCATATTTGTGTGGAGCTGGATTTTTAGCGGTAGCTGTAATCAAGAACAAATATCGCTCAAGAATCAATGTGTCAAGCCTTATTCCCCGTTTAGAAAAACTGTGTGCAGATCAAGTACTTTGATTTGACTGAGTAGCTATTGTATTATATTTTTTGTCTTTCTAAGTCCCTCTTATTGATTTCTGTTTCAATTTTGAATTCGTATAAAAATACTAACAAACTCAGTTTCATATTGTGGATGTCTCAATTTTTGTACCTATCTACCTAACTACTATTATTGTGGGACCTATTTCTTTCAACTGTATCTATTTCAAATAGCTATCTAGGGTAGGGCGTCATGACAAAATACTAAACTTGTAAGTGCGCCGCGGGCTGTAAAAGATGAAGAAGAACCCCTGACCTACAGTATGGTAACTTGGAATTTTATGCATTGTACTGTACTAGGTATACTTCTGATACCTGTATCTGGATTCAGAAGTATACCCAGTTGTGTAAATTATCGAGGAGCACCTCAATGACTAATCGTAGAGGTATCGTATTTGACCTCATCTGAATAATCTAATGTTTGAGTTTTGTTTATGAGAGGTTTATTTTAATTAATTTTTGTATACTCGTACACTATACTACCTGTTCAAACACGTTGTATAATACGTTCTATACACGTTTTATAACAATCTCTGACTGAATTATCTTAACCAATATCTAAGTAGAATTATGTTCGTAACTAGTAAACGTACGACTAGTGTAGTGTAAATCATGAAAGCATGGCACGGTTTATCTAATCACTGCTTGAGACTTAATTGGTTCGTTTGAATCACGCCACTATGAATGACGAATGCAAATTGATTCTGTTAACAGTTGGACTTTGGGTCCGTGTCTGAGCAGAGTAACTAAATACAGAGCCAATCGTAGGTTACAGAAGTTATCTCCATCAATCTTCCGATCCAGGTTGCTAACATTTATTCATTGAATACTTGTTTTTTGGTTTAAGATTATGTGTTTTATTTACTTTTCGAAGTTTTAAATAAAAAATACTTGGTATTATGCAAAAACCGATTTATATTTAATGCACGTCATTTTTTTTAAATTTTAAGTAAAAACAATAAATAATCTAGATTATTAATTGCATAAAAAGACCTGATAACGCATACCGCTGTATACCTCTAATAAATAAAAAAATGAGAAATATTAATCCTGACCTAACACAATTTTATTATTTTTATTTTAAGGTTTTTTGGTATAAGGGGCAAACGAGCAGACGGGTCAAATGATGGTTAGCAACTACCGCCGCCCATGGACACCTGCAACTCAAACGTCACAAGTGCGTTGCTGCCCTTTTAGTCCCTTCCGCTCGCGTCAGCGGGAGGAGGGATTTGGGCTCCAGTAACCTCACTCACTCAGTGAAAGGCAACGAAAGAATTGCTTAACACCGGTTTTTTAGTGAGGCCGTGGTATCACGCCGGTCGAGCGTGCCCATTCGTGCCGAAGCATGGCTCTCCCACGGTGGAATGTTTAAGAACTATTTTTATTTTCTATTAAATACAATAATAGTGAAGGTTTCCCTGATCCGTTGCCGACAATACCATATTCTTGTTTGCAAAGTGTTTTGAAAAACACAATGTCATAGCGCTTGAGTAGTTGAAAAACGGCCTTGTCGGGCCGTGAATCCCCGAAATGAAATACGTTATCAGAACTATAAATATTTAAAAGGTTTAAATTACTTAATACAAAAACTTTATCATTTTATTGGCACTAACGAAAGTATCTATTCTTATACAGATATTATTCCGGGAGCTCTTAGGTTTGTAAGTGGCTATAAAAATAAATAAGTATGTTATATCATCTCCGCATTCTTTACTATTGATAAACTTATTTTACCTAATTATTTTTATACCACTGAGGTGGTGCATAAAAGTTTGGGTAGAAAGTTTATCAGTATTTCGAGAAATGCAAGTTGGTGGGTAATTTTGTAATTGCAAACTTTCTTGTGTGATTTTACACTAAATAAGTTAAATACTTGTGTTGTAACCTTTCTTTCCACTAAATACCATTGTACTGGGCTTTTGGGCAAATACAAAATGTCATACCAATAAGTTTTGATTTACCTGTGGAGTGTAAAAAATGAATGAAATAGGTATTCAATCCCTAAATACCATTATATCTTTCTTGCGAGGGCATAGAATCTCGACAAATAAGTAAAGAAATTGCTATTCTGTTTTGTGCAGACACGTGCTACTATGCTAGATTGGAGACCGCGTTTAGACAAACGTAGTGTAGGTCGTCTTGTGGCACGATGGACCGACGGCTTGAGGAAAATGCTGCTCGCAGCGAATGGATGCGGCCTGCCGAAGACTGGGATTGTTGGTGCTCCTTGGGGGAGGCCTTCGTTCAGCAGGGACGGCCAAAGGCATCAGCCTTTGGCCGTCCCTATAATCGAGACTTTATCATTATCATCATCAGATGATATCATCATCATCATCATCAGATGATAATGATATAGTCTCGATTTATAATGTAAATTTAAGTAAAAACTTGATACATACTGTCAAGAGACAGACAGGCGGATAACAAAGTCTTTCTATAAGGTTTATATTTGTACCTTTTTAGGTATTTAACCCTGAACTATGAGTGTTCGTATGTTTTCCTTTGTGCGGTAATTATTATAAACCTAATGTTCTTTGTAACTTTAGGTAACAGTTTTTTGTTTGGCAAACGTTTTGATCGAATTGTATACTTAGATCAAGGGCATGACATAAGGTTAAATTTGATGGAAACGTGCGCCTTTATCAGTATATATTTATGATGTAATATCATTAAAAAATCTACTTTTATAGTTGTTGTATTTGTAAGAGAAGGTACACTTGAAACAAACCCTTTACCAACCCGTTTGGCCAGCGTGGTATAGTAGGCCAAACCCTCCTAACCAAGGAGAGGCTTATTTCGGGCAGTTGACTAGTAAGGCTGTTGATGAGTTGTGTTTCATTAAATATAACATTTAAATTAAACGCATTACCATTACGTAATTTAAATTAAAATATATATATTTTAGTCTTTAGCATCTGACACTCCACCATTGGTGATAGCGAACGTGGCTTCACTTTCAGGTAAGTCGGGAGAGTCATAAATTTTTGCTATTCTGTTTTCTCCGCGACCTTTTCTTAGTGCAATCCTTGTAGTTGACGCATGCGCAAGAATATTGCCACCTATTGGTTTCTTAGGGTCAGCTTGGAAGGTCAAAGTTGCTCCAGGGTCTGCCGTCATTTGATTTGTTATGAAGACTGCTACGTTGTATTCTTCAGAAATCTAAAGAAAATGTAATAAGTAGTTAAGTTTTAAAGGAAGGGATTTTTAACGTTTTAGTTGTCGATAAAAATACTGAAAATAGGACAAAATAGTTAATAATTTTATCTTGTCTTGTCTTATCTGAAGTTGAACAACTAAAAAAGACAACCCGGATGCATTTTTATCTATAGAGACCAGTCGTGTCTTCCGTTGTGAACTTGAACTGAATATCCGTTCTTCTTTTAAAATTTATAAACGCGCATTATAAATCTTACGACGCAAATCGTATTACGTTTTATTGAAGGTTATAAAAATTCACGGCATCGTCTCCAACATGTAGTAACAAATTATTGCGTTGTGACTAGTTTAAATTTATACAGATACTTGATAAAAATATTAATCCATTATAATATTGTCATGTAAGTTATTCATGTCAGACAAGATAACTACTTAATCATTTTTCAAAGGTCGATAATGTAATAGTGTTACTGGATATAACGTTCAAAAAGGGTAGGTATAAATGCGAGTTGGTCCCGTGCTCCTAAGATTTCGTAAGTAAATTAATCAGTATGTAGTTAGTTCATCGATCTTGAATCGACACTTAAAGTTTTATTCCATTTTTCCGAAAAACAAGCTAGTTCTAAAAATATTTGCCCATCCATCGTTGTACATACGTCGAAGACAATTTTTTAAACACTATAAGATAGTGTGGCGACTCCCACATACAGCGCCATCTAACGAAGAGACACCGAACTACGCAGTAACTCCTGAATGTTAATCTTGCATCGCGATATGAAGAATTTTCTCGCTGATTGGCATATATACAACTTCCCAACGTCAACCATCACCTTGCCCGGTCGGAGAATCTTCCCTTGGTGTTGGAGGGATATGACACTCGTTCCTTTACAATAGCATCCTTTAATTGTAAGTTGATTTTACATCTTCGGTTCGTAACTATACTTACAAACTTACATTAGTTAAAAATATAAACTTATACTTCCTGAAGCAGACAGACGTAAAGAGATCTTAAGGATTTCTTTTTCGTTTGAGAAACGGAATCGAACAGAACAGTGGAACTAAATGCTTTATAAATATATACGTACCTTTTGCAAGCGTGAGAGAACTTGGGCTAGTTTCTGTTGCCTGTCAGCTAATTCACCGCGACCCGAGAAGTCAACCCTAAATAGGGCCATGATCGAATCTATGATGAGCAGTTTAAACACTCCGGCTTCTTCATGAAACTTTGCTGCCACATAGTCTAGTAGTTCCGCCTTATAACAAATATTCACGTTTCAACTCCTTAATTAATTGATGATCCTAATGGCTATTTTAAAATGCATTTATTTTATTACAAAATCATACACACCTGATGTTCTGAAGTATATGCTCTGGCATAAAGAACGTTATCTAAGACGGCACTTTGATCTAAATTAAATCTATCTGCAATGGGCCTCAATCTGTCGGGACGACTATTATGTTATTAAGGATGATTGAATACAATTACTCATACACAATTATGACGATTGCTATGAGATTTTCTATCTATTGATTATAAGCTTATATATAAAATGAAATCTTAAATACATGGTATATAAAGATGTATTTTTTTATTAAATTTGATGCATTACTTTTCGATCATTAGCCAGTTTAGATAATCTATAGGAAGGGCAAACTTGTACCAAGAGATCCCTCAAGAGAAGATTTTTTCAATGCATAGTACCTAGGTATTGATTTATTGGCGATATCCAAGTTCTGTAGAAATACTGTTGTAGGACTTTTAGGGTAGTGACATGTTACGTCACTGCCCTGCCACTAATACCTGTTCTATGCATATAAAAAATATGATAGAAATGATAAGGTAAATAATGAAATACTAAAAGTTTCTACGAAAAATGTTAATAGGTCTGTAAGTTGTATTTAATTAACTACGTGATCACTACACACGTGAAATTTATATTGGTACATATAAGTTGCTGAGTCCGCTGACCGCTAAAGAGTTCATTTACATGCAACGAACCCGATTTGCAGAATCGGGTTCTAACAGGAGAGGCAGGTATATTTTACCAAACCCTAGCTTTGTATCAGCTAGCTTTGTATTTAGTCAGTAATGAACCACAAAATATATCGTTTATTCCTAGTCGTTCATTTTTCTTAGACTATCACAAATTGACTTTTTCTATGTAACGTATGATGTAGTGACTCTTAAGGCAAACCCACAATTTATTTTCGATAGGTTTATCCGATTCTAAGTAAGAAGATCTGATAACTGTTCAAAATGGTTTGTGAAAATATTACTAAAATGCTTTGGGCTCGAGTACTTGCCCGTGCACTCCCGTGCGCCTAGGTGATGAAACTATTGCAGCTTTTATACATGGTTTATTTTACATTATCTTTGTAAATGATTACACCAAATTAGCAACAAAAGGATACAAAGTGTGTTCAGTATCGAGAAACATGACTTTGCCACCGTGATAGCCAGTTGAGTTAGGTATTTGTGTCGTCACACACAACGTATGTGACAACTGCGTCTTGCCTGTACGAAATTCGCCAAAAACTTCAGTTATAGCCATGGATTCGATGCCGCCAGCCAACAGTTTACTGAAAGTCATTTAGAAAGAAGCATGAGCTTTTAAATAGTCCTCGTCTGCATACTGGTTGTTCCCCGCAGTTTATAAACTTCTTCAATGAATACTCAATCTAGTACTAAAATAATTATTCGAGTCCTACTGCAAGTACTCAAAGAAACTTTAAATAAATAGTTCTGTTAAGGACTTTTAATTAGCAGGCCAGGCAACCTGTTAAGTAAAATAAAATTAGGAACCAAATATAATATGGCGATAAAATATTAAGCATATTTTTCCTTAAGTCCATAAGCTGAATTACAAATCACTGATAGATAAATCATGAGGCATATCTAGGTGAAGCTTGAACTTACAGAATTCGTAATGCTTGTAATGAATAGAAGTAGTCATATAGTTACCATAACCAATATAAATAAAAGTAAAAGTATTTACTCCTACCTATAAATTAGTTTACTATCTACATGAATAATATTTAGTTCAAGTATTTCTTTGTTTTGTATCTAATGTGCTATGCTTAGACTTACTCCAATTCCATACTTCCTGTACTAATTTTGAAAACCTGCTTTCGACGATCGCTGACTTCTAATGCTGTCATAAAGCCAAGGGTCACTACTTTTTGACAAGCTTCCTTAATTTTCTCCACTTTAGTATCTGAAAACCCTTTGATGTTACACAGTTTTTTCTTCGTGGACATCTGTATTCCTTTGATGGTACATATTCCTGCTCCTTTTAATTTCTTAATGTCGGCTACGTTAATCCCATGTTTCTGTAAAATATCTACATCTTGAAAGAAACTTTCTTCGTCTTCATTTTCTGACACATTTTCATCAAGAATTTGGTCAATCATAGTAGAAAAGTTTAAATTATACACAATTGGAATTTGAACTTAAACTTGGCGCGTTTAATTTTTTTTTTATTGATTAAGGGGTTACTGTTTAGGGTAGCGGGTACATTAAGTCTATGTAGTGATTATAGCAGATAACTACATCCTAAAATTTGCTATTCTAAAAATTGATTTAAATAACTTTTCGTGTCGGCTATGATGAATTAGTTGAAGACAAAATCATAGCACACTTTTTCTAAATGTAATAAAGTTCGTAACATAAAAAATCGTGAAGAATTTTTTATCATTAATATATCCACTAGTTTTTACTTCTTCAATGATTGCCATGAGTCATGACCGTAAAATGTATTCAATTCTACTCTTGAAAATACGTTAGGAAATAGTTAGGTTTACTTAAGTTTCATAATCGAATAATATTAAAAATATTGTTATTTATTTTTGGAATAAATGCTGCCTTCCAACATTTCATTAGTTTACTATTTAAGTGTGAATACAACCACGTAGTCCACCTAAGAAACGCGATGTGTATAACACTAATACTAGCCAATAGCAAAAATGGTGTAGTCAGTTTTACAAAAAACTAAGTCAAACCTTTCCTCAGAAGTCTGACAAAATTACATTATAACAAAAATTTTTGTCGTTTTAATATGGTAAACAGATTGTAATACAACTTAAATAATGAAAAAAACTAATTTAGTCTTTTTCTTACCTCAGATATTCTTCCAAAATTTAAATTTTTAAAGTTTTCCATTAAAATTAAAATTTATTGTTTGAATTAATAGATCCAACACGAAATGGTCACAGTTTTTTGTGTAATTAGTAAACTTTTTTAGTGCACCCCTATTTCATAGCGTCACTTTGATTGATTTGTATATTGTATTTTTAATCTATGGTTTTGATGACTTCGCTACGCTGAGAAAGAATCGTTAGCGGCGCAAATAAAGGATTATTTTTAATATAAATAACAATTTCTTCAAGATTATTACCGGTTAATCCATCTCAGTAAAGGTAAGGGCGTAAGTTAACCCAACGGAAGTACTGGAAAGTGATTATTTATTATGTTCATATATTTCCTTCAGTATCACAGCCATGTTGAAGTAGTGTTGATTTTGATAAGTTTTCGTCAGTTTATCGTTCAAAAAGTTTAAAGTTGATCACAAGTATATGTGACAGACCCAGTTTTGTTTGTGTTGTGATAATAAAGTTGAAAGTCTTTGCAATATGAAAAGTGTTTCAAAGTGCAACTGTTTCTGGCGTCGAGTCGTCAACGTCAAGGTAAGGGTGGATGTGTCTTCAATATACATCACAACGTAGCATTTACCAGTTCCAAAACATTTGTTACGATAATAATTTTAAATATTAAACATTAATTAAATAAGTGATACTTACGAGGTTATCACATTTATTTCATACATTTATTCTTTGACAAATTCTGACCCACTCTTAAGTATTATAATCATCAATTTTATTATTTACTGCAGGGTCTGACACGTAGGCAGGTTTTGGAAGTAGAAAAACACGACATAATAATAATAATATAAGTCGCTAAAATTTCTACATATATGATGAAGTTATTACATTTAGTTCTTTTTGTTAAGTCTATCTTTATAGTTACTTTTATATTGTAATTTAGGTCAAATATTACAATGTTGATATATAAAATATAATTTCTTGCATATCATCAATAATTGACTGGAGTATTTAGGTTAAAATGTTATAAACAATGAATATTTAATTTTTCAAATTCTGCTTTTATTGACGTACATGAGAATGTGTGAACTAACATTTGAGAGTATTGCATAATATAATGTTGGTTGAAGCTATTTATACCATAAAAATAACATACAGTGCTTGTTTTGGGTTGGGACTTACATAGTCAAGTAGTCAATATCATGTGGTACTGCCGTTTATTTTCAGAGATGGATTCGGAAGATTCACGTGATCAAAGCTCATCTAGTAGTTCAAGTTCAAGCTCTAGGAGTCGAAGGAGTTCATCCTCTGACAGGAGTGAACCATCTAAAAAAGATACAAAGTCCCCTCCTCCTTCTCCCAGATCCCCAAGGTCCAGAGGGCCACGCTCACCATCACCTGATAGTCGATCACCATCCCCACATCATGGCAAACAACCACAATCACCTGACAATCTAAGTGGGGCTCACTCTGACATTAATTCACCAGAAAATTCAATGCCTGGATCACCCGTAGCATGCCCTAAGTCACCAGAAGGTCCACACTCACCAAGTGATGTTGGTTCCAATATAGGTTCACCTGGGCATGGTGATCAATACTCCTCAGCCCCAGTGTCGGCAGGAGAAGGACCAAAGACCCCACAGAGTCCTTCTAGCTCAGCTAAATCTGGTCCTGGCTCACCAGATAATAGGTCCAGACCTGAGTTTGAAAGAAGTATACAGCGACAATCTCCATCCTCCAGTCCTTCACCAGATAGAAACTCCTATAGATCTTCACCCAACATGTCACCAGTTATAAAGAAAAATGACTGGAGTCCTAAAGAAAGAAATGAAAAGTGGAGAAGACATACAAAAGCTGAGCAGAAAATGGTGCCTGTCCCTAGAGCCCGTAGTAGATCTGATTCAAGTCGTTCTAGCAGAAGTTCTTCATATCACAATAGAAGTTCTAAAGATCCTGCCACTGAAGAGATATCTGAGGGTATGTGTTTTTTTATGGTACAATACCAAAAATTATGATTTCCTTAGTAACCCAAAGAATTTAATATTTGAAAGTTTATGGTGTATATATTATTAAGAGAGTTAAAAAATTATAAACTTACAAAAGATTTAAAAAATATTGTTAAATTGTTCCATTATTTCTGGTTGTAAAAATAAACCAGGATCATTGCATGATAATTAAGTGAGTATGGTAAGAGAACCATGGATGTTTTTCTAGGAGAAATGGAATCTGACCAAGAAGATAGAAAATTAAGGAGCAAACCAACTGGAAGTGATAAACCAGATGGAAAAGATCTAAATATAAGTCATGAGGATCTTTCTGATGTGTCTGACTTGGATTCCATGGGGCCTGAAGATGCTGAAAAGGGTGCTAAGGTTTGCAAATTTTAATATTTTTACAAGCTATTATTGAATTTCCAATGTTTGTATGTATGATGATTTGGGTCAAATCTTGCAACTGAATTTGAAAGCATACTCATTTAATTTTGATGTCAACTAATTAATGAAAATGAATTTTAGTACAAAACCTGACTAACTTAATCTTTTTCTGAGTTAGTTGCTTTTAATTTAATTTGCATTCTTACAGCTCACGTCGCCCCTACCATCTGAAAATAAGTTTGATGCAAAAGTCAATGGTACGAGTTTACAAACATCACCTCAATCAGACAATGGGAAGAGTGATGTTCCAAAACTGGAAAAAGTAAAACATGTTAATTTTTTTGCTGATCTACCTATAGCTTAATTATTATCTGTTTTTGACTTTTAATTACCTTTGTACACTTGATGGTATTTAATTCTAATTATTGTGCATTTCAGGTACCTCAAGAAAAAACTAGCAACACAGAAGATGGAGAAGAACAATTAGATTTTGAAGCAGAAGAAGGAGAATGTATAGAACCAAAAACTGTAGAACAATCAAATGGTGACACCGAGGACAAGAGTATTGAGAGAGGTAATAAAAAATTTACATTTTTATGAGAATTTGTCTGGCTCCTTTGGAAGATTTATGTGTACATTTCTTTATCATCCACAAGATTAACTTTGTTCTGTGTCAGGGTGTAATTTATCTATGGTATATACATATGTATTAAGAAATATATAAGTATGTTTATCAGAAGTCTGGTCTGGGATCAGATGGCTGTGTGTGAGATGTGTGCAGTTATTATTGTTAGTGTGTTGAATGATTTGATTTGACACATTGAGAAAGATGTCTTATAATAAAAACAACTTATTTAAGTGATTAACACATAGGTACAGACATACTAGTCACAGGCTTATTCTCCTGAATATACAGTGGACATTTAGCCTTCAAACCTGACTGATATTTCAGTAATGGACTAACATTCTACTATTAACAAACAGGTGGAAAATTGTTACACTATCATCCACATTGGATCAAAATTATATATGTTTAGAAAAGGGCCTTTTTTTTAAAACTAACTCAAAATCTTAACACATAACTGGGTTTTATGAAAGAGACAATAGTTTTACATATTTGTATATCAAAATAACAAAAAATATGAACTAAAAACATTTATTGCTTGTATTTTAAAGATACTATAAAAATATAACAAAAATAATAGGGAGTCTTCTTAAACCCTTTTGACCTTAAAAATATCAAACATTTTGCTTATAATATGGTTCAAGAATATAAATAAGACTTAGGCCCGTATTTTAAAAGGTGTCTCAGTTGTGAATCTAGTCTTAAAACTAATTTAAAGTAGAGATTTTATTATTGAACGTCACTTAGAACGAGATTCACCGACCCGTACTCATGTGAGCGATAGCTGTGACGGCTGTGATCATTGTTTACGTCAGATACGCTGAAACTAGTCTCAAGCAGTGAGTTCTGGGGAATTTTAGGAGAAATTAATGTGTTTTACAAAGTTTTATTTTTGAATAATTATGAAAGATTTAGGTACTTTATTTACGAAAGAACTACTTGTCATACTATAGTAAAATTAACTTTAAATTACCTTAATTGATATTAAATTTACTGTAATTCACATTTTACACACACAATACTTATTGAAATTAAAATCACTAATATAATATAATATATAATATAAATTTACCACATCCACACAACGCCATCTAGTCCCAAACTAAGCAGAGCTTGTACTATGGGTACTAGACAACTGATATAAATACACATATACTTTTTTTTTTTGTAAATACATACATATAATACATAGAAACACCCAGACCAAATCAAACATTATAAGTTCATGCACACAAATGTTTGACTTGAGCGGGAATCGAACCCGCGACCTTTGGAATAGCAGTCCGTTACACAAACCACTATGCCATCCGGTCGTCGAAGTACGTCGAACTACAACCTTGTGGTTTATGTTAAAAGTATAATATTGTTCTAATTTTATTTTTGATTATTATTATTTATTTATTTATTAATGGGAGAGGCCCATGTCCAGCAGTGGACTGCAATAAGCTGATGATGATGATGAATATTAATTTTAGAAATATAAAAATAAAAACATTGTTTGACAAATTTAACATTACAGTGTTGATAAATAACGTGAACATGCTGTTATAGCCTGTTTTTAGTCATTTTGATTTTAATATTTATTATATTTAATTTTGGACGAACAACAAGCTTGTTAATATGTTAACGTTGTTACACTAGCCAATAGTATACTATATCATACAAACTCACAGAAATTATGTTTGTAAAAGAAAATTATTTTTAATTAATTAGCTGCGTAATACGGAATAATAATGTCATTTATGCGAAAACGTAATTGAGAACAGACTGTAAGTTCAAATCAATACTTGAAACTGGTTTCAACTGAGTAAAACTTAAAACGCGTTAAAAAATTTCATCTGCACTTAAAACTATTTTCTGGCAATCAGAATTTAACCGATACTTGAGACGTTGAGTAAATAAACTTAAAAAATATAATTATGACGTCAGCATGAACCTAACACACATCGTGTGCAGAAGGGAATTATGTGTTCAGGACATATTAACTTCTGCCATTTATGGCAGGTATGAGTAGCCTTTCTGTCCTTTTGTTACCTTGTTTATCTGTGCATTATGCAGTTTATGCCGGCTATGGTTAGCAAAGCATAAAATATAGACGAAACCATTTCTTTGAGTTGATAACATCAAATGTCGAACACAGTTCATCACACTCTAGCGTAACCTGACGTTTGTAGTTGCGTACAGTACCTACAGTTGTCAATTTACGCTCTTTGAGTACTACAATGATACAAAATTGATACATTTAATGCCACATTGGTTCAAATTTACCTTTGTTTACTTCACAGACGTCTAGATCTCGTTATTAGCGCACAATGCTTTAGATACACTGCAAATTTCATAACACGAAGTCTTATTTCTAGCTAAAACCAAAATCAAGATGTTTGCATAATTTATTTTGAACATACTCGTCATTACAAAATGTTCGTGTCATTATGACCCAATGTGGATGGCGCCGGGTTAACTTAAGTAACAAGCGAGCTTTAATAGAAGTTTTTATAGTATTTAAATCTTCATTACATTCAAATGTCTCAATGTAACATGAACACACAACAATGAAAACAAATGACTTGAAGACTACTTTAAAAAAAGTTAAAGTAAAAATTAAATAATGTGTTAAAATAAAAATGTTATGACTTTAGCTCTGATTAATAATTAAAATTTATAGCATTTTCATTAATTAATAATACTTGCAAAGTCTAATAAAATATTGAATTCAAGTTGTGTATTAAAAGCACAAATGACTGCCAGCTAATGTAATAGTGTCTGCCTTTAATGGAATATGTTGATAGAAATAACTTGTCGATCGATCGCCGCGCCGAGGTTGAAATGGTTTACGTGTAAGCTTATGTGATAGTAATCAAGTTTGATTGAAAATTTCAACATAAATTAATCGTATTTATGTAGTTACTGGCTAGAATTTTCTTCGACTAGATGCTTATTTCGTTAGCAACCTTTATTTATTACTAAAATGTGTGGTAGTGACTCTGAAATTGTTGGTCGCTTCAATTATCGAGTCATTCGACGACGCAACAGATTTCTAATTATTCGCCAAGTTGCCAACACTGGTGAGTTTTTTTACTTAATATACTACAAATAAATATATGTGGTTACGATAAAGTAACGACTTTAGCGCTATTTAAAAGAACTACCTATTAAATAACTATTTTTTATAACAGAAGAGGCGAAACCTGGTCGTCGGCGTTCACGTGGTTCATCGCTCGAGGAAGGAGAGGTATCGGACGAAGCAGAGCGTCGTCCCGAAGAGAGCGAACCGCGACCGGTTTGCAGGTTCTTCTCTCGTGGAGCTTGTACTTGGGGTGTTAGTTGCAGGTATGCTTACTTTGTTAGTAGAAATCAAAACGTTTATGTGTACACACACATAAACGTTTCGTTTTGGTTAGTCCATGGGCCTATTTCTATTGTTAGCAAAGCTTTGTCATCCAAAAAAAATGACAGTATAATATATCAATTCTTTTGCTTCTCATCTAGGCCTCATAGGCCTAATTTTTTCTTCGCAAACATGGTTAACTCCATGGTTTGTGCACAGCACTAGGAGCCCAAATCAATTGAATGAAGAAATGAATGCATGAAACCCACATGTTTAAAAAAAAAAACGTTTCCTATGCACTAATAAACTATAGACCGTCCGAGAAATGAATGCATGAAACCCACATGTTTTAAAAAAAAACATTTCCTATGCACTAATAAACTATAGACCGTCCGAGAAATGAATGCATGAAACCCACATGTTTTAAAAAAAAAACATTTCCTATGCACTAATAAACTATAGACCGTCCGTGACGCCACCGTGTACGTCCATGTACTGCTAGTGACCCCATTTTTTATTCCAAAAACAGTGTTAAAAGTGACTTATACAGTGTTAATTACCATAAGAGCGACAGCATGGTGGATAATTTTAACGTGATAAGGACTAAGTAAGTGATGAATAAAGGATTTTAATACCTCAACGGTCAAAAGAAGTGCAAGATTGTGTGCTGGTTGGACTTTGACCCCATTAGGAACACATCCGGCGACTGACCAAGTACTTAACAGATTGTCGAGGTCTTAACCGATAGTGTATAGTAGTGAACATTGATTTCAACCTCTGTAGTAGAATCCGGCTGTCACAACGGGCTAAGCAAGGGTGTTTCGTTACAGCGACATCAAGTTCGAGTCTTGGTCTTGAATCCGCTTTTTGCACATTTTATTTTATTTCATCTGATTTTTGCCCTGTACTGACTGTGTATATTGCGGTTCGGAACCTTACTTTACTTTTATTTATTAGAACTTTTTTTTAAGAACCTTTTAGTTTTGAAACTAATTCAACGATTATGCCAAACATGCAAAGAACGTCACCGACATCGACCTTCATAGTAACATTTACATCTACATTGCAATCAATTTCCGAACCAGATTTACCAGCCGCCTCTACTCGTAGCGTAAGCGATACCAACATCACCAAACGCAGTAAACGTCAACGCCAGGCTGATTCCCCAAACATGGCATCGGATCCAATTGAGAACTTAAAGGCTGAAGTATTAGGCATGCTAACTACGTGGAAGGCAGAGCAGGATCTGTTTCTAACCTCTTGGAAGGCTGACCAAGATGCAAACACTATCCAGACTGGTCAATGACGTTATGGACCTAAAAAAACAGTGCATATCCAAAACGAGCACAAATACTAAATTTGAACAAAGCATGTCTTGCATAAGTAAGCAATATGACGACATGGTCAACAGGTTAACTTTTTTGGAGAAGCAGAGAGAAGAAATTGCAGCAAATATCATCTGCAGAGTCCGGAACCATACGGGACCAGTGGTCGCTGAATTTGCATGTGTTAACATGAGAAACGAATTGCTGGCAAGAATCAGGAAGTACAACAATTAGCGATCAAGCAGTGACAAGTTAAATAAGCATCGAGTTGGCAGGAGATGAAAAGCTGCTTTACGTAGACGACTACCTACCACCAGCTATAAAAATGTTCTATGAGATCCGTCAGCTTGCCAAGTCCCTCAACTACGCATGTTGGTACTCAAACGGCAGAATCCTAGTGCGTAAAAAAGCCGGCCCAGCTGAGAAAACAATTGTAATAAACTCAGAAAAGGGCCTCAAACTTTTGTCTAAGAAACAATGACTATGTTATTTAAAATTACTTCTTTCGAATTTTGCATGTTCTTTTTATAGTTTCTATTTTTACCATGTTTTTTGCATCTCTTTCTACACTTATACCATACATTGACTAACTCACCTTCAACAACTACAACCACCCCTAAATAAACTTTTTTGTTTCAAATAATTTACAGTAACAACAATATTAGCTTGATACTACAAGTTACTATATTTCCCATAGTGAATAACCGAGGCTACAAATGGCCTTTTTGCAGTGTGATTTGGTGAATTTAGGTAGATTTGAAATTATCCTAGAGAGTCTATTATATAGGAACGGGCCGAGAATCGTGAATTCGGTGAATCTTTGTGCGAAGGTAGTTCTGAATAACGTGGGCGTATATACCCTGTCTTTGCGAAACTTACTGAGAAGAGATGATATAGAGTAGGAGTGTTTATTTTGTTCTAGGCCCGTATGTAAGATGAATCTTATCGTGAGAGTCGCCGACAATTCGTATAGCTGTGATGTAGGAAATAGAAAGTGCTTAAAATATATAACTTTAAGCACAGCCCGCTGTGCCCTTTCTAGTATTAGTAGGGGGGTTTCAGAACAGCCTCCCCAACAATATGTCAGAATGGACTCACATAGTGCTAGACAAAGTATTTTTTTTGTGTCACATATGTAAAAATGCTTTAAAATTTAAGTTGCTGTCTAGTTTGATTCTCAAGTATTTAGTTGATGTGACTGTAGGGCTATTACAGGGGTCGGGTACCGTGAGTGTGTTGTCGTATCGCAGTAATGCAATTTAATATTGTATTTATTAACTGGCGGTTGACCATCGGTTCTGATACTGAAGTTAATATAATTTGTCTTAGATAAATTAAGTGATAGCAGGTTGTTGTCAAGAAATTTTGCTGCTGTGTCTAGGCCTTTATTAGCACTTGCGTAAACATCATCCCAAGTTTTCCCACTGAAAAATAGCACTGTGTCATCCGCATATGTATTGATATTACCATTTTCGAGAGCCAAATTGCACATACCGTTTATATAGGCAATGAAAAGAGACGGTGCGAGGACGCTCCCATGTGATAACCAAAAGTAATGCGTTTCTTGGTAGAGCTTCGATGTTCTTGCATTGCACTATGTATGGTCTCGAATACGAAATATCTGGGTGTAGTTATTGATGGGGGGCTTGGATTGGAAGGCACATGTGGAGGTGTCTGTATAATTAGGCGATTGATGTATATGTTTAAAGAACTGATAAATTCATCCGATGCAGAAGCTTTAACTAAATTGTATGTCAGTTTGTGCCAATCCATGATAACCTACTGCATCCCGGTGTGAGACAAAGACGCCAAGGATTTCCAGTATGTGACAGAAGTCAGACTCGTACTGTATTTGCCAGTAGGCAATTCACAGCACAAAGTTCTCGGATTTATAACAAAATAAATAGAGAAATTCTATACAGGCTGCCTTTGTATAAACTCAAATTCAGACTAAAAGACTGGTTACAATCACTCACATATGATAACACAGAGAAAATATTAGAAAGAGTATCATAAAATAATTTTCCTAACTTAAACACACCACACATGTTTTAATAAATACACTCACCCGCTCCACACTCAACCCTATTCAACAGTGCACTCGCACAACACTCCTATACACAAACCACCCGTAGTACGCCTAACATATATATGCATATTAATGTCACCACAGGAAAGATTAAAAATGTCACGGTTGCTATAAATGTAGACATCGAAAATTACTCTGATCCCTAAGATACAGGTCTATGTACCTAGTTTAGGGATTGGAAATGTTATAAAATGCATGACACCTGTACTACTCTATTGACTATAAGAATTGTATTGTATGTGTGTATAACCTTTGTAGCAAAACAATATCGCTATGTTATATTTGTATTACAGGTTTCTTCACCCGGGTGTGACGGATAAGGGTAACTACAATATGTTCGACGTCGTTCGCGGTGTCCCTGCCAGTGGCTCATACCCCACAGCACCTGCTAGAGATGTCGCGCCCCCCGAATCCGCTTGGGAGCGTGGCTTGCGCACAGCTAAAGAGGTAAATGGCGTTTTTCTCTTTGCAGAACAATAATTCATTGTCAAATTCAGTAGCTGTTATGAGGGTACATTTACTGTGCAGTTTTTTACACTACAACCCACCAAAGCTAAGTGTTGCCCTTTTCCTCCTTGAAACGTATCGCACCTTTAATAATAAACTGAATTAATTCAAAATTTACGTTTTTCGAGTTTTCAACAAATACCAAATCAACTTCATCAGTAGAACACGAACAATCCAACCGCCGACTCGATACCATGAAAATGGCAGAGATAAGAGATCGTCGTTCTCTTTTTGACGAACTCGCACGTACATGAATGTCAAACTTTAAATGCGATTTCCCACAATATTGAAATTCTAAGTTAATTCAGTTTATGAATAAAGGTGCGGTATGGTTTCTGCATTGGTGTGGATTCTTTCTTTGATCTGGAAGAGTTCAGATTCAGTACAAAGGCACAATTTCTGCTAAGAAAAATATCACTATGCCGTTCCGTGAGGTTCTATTGCCTTTAGAACGCAGTTAATGACGGTAATTCCTTTAGAAATAGGCTTAGTTAATGGAAATTTAGCAACTTTGTTCTAACCCCTCAAGAACATTTTGTCCTGTATGAAATGCATCGTTTGTACTGTATTTTTTGTCACGTGTAGCATCGCATAAAATATGGACAAATAAATACTGATTATATGTAATTGAACTTAAAATTCAATTTCTTTGAAATGACTCTTTTTGAAGCTTTGAAACCATAATGTAAGTTATTTACTTCGGTAACAGATGCTCAGAATAGCGAACAAGCGTAAGGAGCAAGACATGGACTTCGAAGAGAAGAAGTTACACCTGTCAGTGGGTGGTGTGGTGCACGACCCGGACGCAGAGCTGGCCTACGCCGCCGCGGCGGTGGGCGCGTCGCCGCCTCGCCACCACGAAATGCCGCCCGCACACTACAGGGATCCTGAAGCATTCAGGTATTTGCGTTTTCGACCATTACATCAATAGTTTCTAGTGCATATCTTTACAATCCTAGCATGTCATGTTGTCTTGATTCCTTGAGGTGTTAAGGCTAAAGTTGCTTTTATTGTGTACTGTGAAATACCTAAATTAATAAATAAGATGAGAGCTCGTGTAAGCTTTTCTGAAATTTGTTGTGAAGTCATAAATTCTTGCACAGTTCACGAGCTTATTTTAGTAGAGTCAATTTATCTTCTTTTCTTTAATAAAAAGTCAACTCCCGCTCTAGGAATAATGTTGTGTGGGCGACTTTACAGACACTTTCTAAAATATATAACAAAATAAACAAAAACTCTACACCCCATCGGAAATTTAGGCTAACCCTAAGCTATGGCCAAAGCAAATATCGAGCAAGCAATTACCAACTCAGTGGTTAATATTTTTAACATAATATTTTTCAGAACGTACGGCCCAATGTATCGAGGTCGTTTCCCTCGGCCGCCAGTTGACGAACGTGAGCGGTATTACAATCGGGAGCACATGTATGAAAAAGAACGCGTTTATGAAAGAATGCCCCATTACGACGAAAGGGTTCCTACGACAGAAGAGGGCCCTTATCATAAGGTTATTTATATTACAGTCTTTATATTTTTTTTTGTTTGGTAAAAAATCCACTTTCTGAAATTTGTTCTATTGTTAGGAGACTACTGCTACTGCTGTTAGGAGCTACTTTATGGTGTCTAATTAAAGAACGAAAATTAACTTTTTAATGATAATTACAAGACATTGCCATCTGAACTGCATTGCCTAGTAAAATAATTTCGTAGTGGCTTTGTGGTTATTGATAATATATAAGTAAAAAACCGGTCGAGTGCCAGTCGAGCCACGCCCAATGTAGGGTTCCGTATTTCTATCGGTGTGGTGACGGATTAAGAATACGGAGTGTCGTAAGAACCGACTAAGGGAGTAAACTACGCATAACAACAGCACTGCAAAGGGAAGGAAAACTTGAAACAAACCCTATATCAATCTGTCTGGCCAGCGTGGAATAGTAGGCCAAAACTTCCTTTCTATGGAGAGGCCTCTGTCTAGCAGTGATCTAATAAAGGTTTTCGATGTGTGATGTGATAATGTAGTTATTTCATACTACAAACATTTCACATTAACGGTTCCGGCGGCCTATTAAGTCCAATTAGTTGGTCGACTATTACTTGTAAACTAATAAAGCTTACCTAGTAGTGATCGTTTTCATTTTAAATTTGTTATATGTGCTACTTCCGTAATTTTTTTCAGATCCTCAAATACCGTCGTTTATCTAGGAGTGGAGAGAGGGGGGGGGGGGGGGCTTGACAATAACAAAATCAGCGCTTTAATGCTTAATATTTCACAAATGGATACCTAAATCAAAATATTGTCGTCACAAACCCTTATTATTTAAAAAAAAGCCTGTGACCAATGACACCTAACATCATGGGATGGATGAATATAAAAAATAGCAACCCCACTTTAGAGTTATCCCAAAAAAATTATTCATGATTTATTTTACAACTTTGTCGACGTGATTAGTATGTATGTTCATGCGAAATTACAGGTTTCTAGCACTAATAGTCTGTGAGATATAGTGTGGACAAACATACGGACGGACATAACGAAACTATAAGGGTTCCGTTTTTGCCTTTTCGGTTACAGAACCTTAAAACTGTATGAGATCAAATGAGATCAAAATCGGTGTCGTCTTCAAATCGATCGTCGTTTGTTTGTAACGACATTGTACCCCTTTTTTCACATTAATATTTTTTCATTGGATACCCTCTTCCCACTCTCCGTTTTTTCGTTATCTATGTTTAGGCCCAAAAATTTCTGGAGCAGCTAATATACGAGGGCGGGTCAATAAGTCCGTGACTTTTGGAATAAAACACAGATTTTTTGATAAATAAATCATTTTATTTTTCAACGTAGTCTCCCTTGAGCTCTATACACTTTGTCCAACGCTTCTCCAATTTTTTTATCCCTTCCAAAAAATATGATTTGTCGAGGTCCTCAAAATAGGCCTTTGTTTGCGAGATGACTTCATCATTGGAGTCAAATCTTTTTCCACCAAGCCATTTCTTCAGGTTTGGGAACAAGAAGTAGTCATTTGGAGCCAAATCTGGAGAATAGGGCGGATGAGGGAGCAATTCATAGCCCAATTCATGGATTTTTTCCATGGCAACTGCACATGTGTGCACCCTTGCATTGTCTTGGTGGAAAAGAACTTTTTTCTTGGCCAAATGAGGTCGGTTTTTTTTCAAATCGTCATTGAATCGGTTCAATAAGTTGGCATAATATTCCCCATTGATTGTTCTTCCCTTTTGAAGGTAGTCAATGTGGATTATCCCGCGTGCATCCCAAAAGACAGTGGCCATAACTTTATTGGCTGACAAACCCACCTTGGCCTTCCTTGGCGCCGATTCACCCTTAGAAACCCACTGTTTTGACTGTTGTTTGGTCTCTGGTGTGTTGTGATGGATCCATGTTTCGTCCACGGTTACAAAACGGCGCAAAAACTCCTCTATATTGCGATTAAACAACGCCAAACCTTCCTGTGAACTTGTTACACGATTGCGTTTGTGGTCGACTGTGAGCAATCGCGGCACCCATCTTGCGGAAAGCTTTCTCATGCCCAAGTGATCATTCAAAATTGAAACCACTGAGCCATGCGAGATCCCTACGGCTGCCACAATCTCTTGCACTTTCAATCTTTGGTCGGCCAACACCATATCGTGAATTTTTTCGATTGTTTCGGGTGAAGAGACCTCAACTGGGCGTCCAGAACGTTCGGCATCTTCAGTGCTTGTACGGCCACAACGAAATTCAGTAAACCACTTTTTTACCATTGAAATCGATGGTGCAGAGTCCCCATAGTATTTATCAAGCTTAGCCTTGGTCTCGGTAATGGTTTTTTTTCGCAAAAAATAATGCTTAATAAGCACACGAAATTCACTTTTTTCCATTTTTTCCTCAAATTACTGGGTAGTCTGATAAAGATAGCTGTCAAACACAAACTAACTGACGCAGCAAGTTCAAATTTTGACAGGAGTCAACTGACAGATGCCTGTTGACAGGAGTAGTGTTGCTTTTTCAGTAAAGAGGTCAGAAATTCAAAAAGTCACGGACTTATTGACCCGCCCTCGTAGATTCCTTAATTTCTCATAGACAAAAGTAGAAAGGAGGAAGTGATCGTTAAAAATATCCAACAGAGACGCGTCCGCTCGTCTCGCGAAGTGATCGTGCAGCGCGCTGAGGTGGAGCGGCGCGAGGCGAGAGAGGGCAGAGAGGCGAGAGAGGCGCGGGAGGCCCGCGAGGCCCGCTCGCCGCGCGACGGTCGGCGCGACGGGCGCACGGACGAGTGGGCGGACCCCTGGATGCGCGCCGAGCCCGCCGCGCGCCGCCGCAAGCCGCCCTCCTCCGACGACTCTTACTCCTCCTCCAGGTACGGCGCGTGGACTAGGTGCGCACGAACGGTTCTTCGATCGTCCGTGTACCCGTAGCACATTACATAACATACTTTACCCGCTTCGATTGAACACTTTTTCTTTATTGATGCCAAAATTTGTTGCAATACTTGTATGGATCGAAATTAATTTATTATACGAAAAATGTGCAGAAAATTAGGAATGACGACGAGACATTACGTATGAAACATAAAATTATATATTCTTCCTTTCTGAATAATCTTCATTTTTTTTTGTGAAGGTAGTGTCAGATCGGACCTATGAAAATGAGAGCTGTAAAACTGCGCACTTAGCATTTTTAGTTCCTAGTGTTCATTCATAGTTAGATATTATTGTAGGCGATCGTAGTACCCATTGAAGAAAAGAACGAATGTTTACGAAAATGTTTACATCGAGATTTTAGTTGTCATTATTTTATTTTTAAGTGAATAGGGCTGAAATAATATTTATAGTTCTGACACAACAGTAAGCATTACTCGGGTTCACTTACCCGTAAACGTGTCTGATGTTTTTATTATTTTTCAAGTTATTAATTTGATATTTTATCCCGCTTCGTCCCTTTTCCTTGGGCGATGGGTTTCGCTTTTATAACTCGTCTAATGTTGTGGTTTTTGCGGTGTTCTCCTCATTCATTTTTCTATCTTAACGGACATTATCGACTAATGCATGTTTCTATCAATACCATCGATCATTCGGACTCGCTATCGGTCACCGGTTTACGTGTACGCCTGTAACATGTACCATCTTTGACATCTCTAACACTGTAACGAACATGTGTGCATGCGTACGCGTGCGTGTGCATCGACCGTACCCCGTCCCCTCGCCCCCTTCGTCCCGCTGACCCCGCAGCTCTTCAAATTCCAGTTCCCGAAGTTCGCGATCGCCGAGCGCGCGTCGTAAGAGAAGGGCGTCCTCTTCGTCGAGACAAAGGTGAGATGGGTTTCGGATTTAATCGTTACCAATTAGGGTACCGTGCATAAAAATCGTGTGACAGTTTCACGACTCAGTGGACTACGCGTCTATAATCGTGTTCTCAAAATTTGAGCTTCAGTCTAAAATAGACGATCGATATACAATCGGTGGCATGTGTCGCAGGCTGTCTCCGTCGGTGATAGTGCGCGAGCGCCGGCTGGCCACGGCCCGCGCCACGGCCATGAACCCGCCCGCGCCCCGGCGCCGCGCGGCCTCGCCCGCGGCCGCGCGCCAGCTGGCCGCCAACCCGCCGCCGCCCGCTACACACCGACACAAGGTTTATACATAATTATATCCTTCTCGTTTTGCTTTTCCGCTTTCGTTTCGTTCATTTTATTACATATAAGGCTTTACTCGTGTATGTTTCGAGGATGCCTGACTAGTTTAAATCCGCTTTTCGGTATTTGACGCGTGGTAACTGACGTAGTCGTGGCAGGATACTTCGATCCTCTTGAAAAGACCTCTCGTATTGATTACAAGCCAGACACCTCGAAATACAGACTTTATCAAAACCGAATATGTTAAGGAAGTTTTTACTGTAATAATTTCAACAAAGCTAGATATGACCATTATGTTTGATACCGATCACGAATGAAGGCTACAAGCAAATAAAAATAAAAAAATATTCAAAGAGAAGGATTGGCTCACTTGCTTCCTTTGTAAGCCATTGTTTGTGAAATAAATGTGAATTGCATAATTATCTGATTTACACTATCTCCTAATATTGTGTTTATTTTATAGGAAGAAATAGATGCTTATGGCCGTACCAAACCGTTAGGACGCAACAGGGATAGAAAGAAATACTCAAGGTCTTCCTCATCAGGTTCAGGTATTGTATTTACTTAGAAGAGTTATTACATAATATACATGAAATTACATCCTTTAAATCCGTTAGTGCTGCACCTTTAACTTACTTTAGTAAAATTTAGATATACTTGTTGAAAGGCAATCATACATGTTTTCCTGCCTTCTTGGTACTTAATTAGGACTAGGTCCTAAATGGGAACTTAATTCTTTGTTGTAGAATGTTCAGATAGTTGAATTATTAATTTAAAAAAATACAATTATGAGGGTGACAATTGTTTCCCAGCACAGAGACATGTTTGAATTCAACCAAGTAACTTATCAAAAGAAACGAGTCTTAAATCCTAGTATATAATATTGTCCAACAGAATCATCGTCATCATCCAGCGAGTCAGAGAGTGAATCGCATTCATCTTCGTCGTCCGGCAGTTCGGGAGCCAGGCGTGCTAGACACGCTCGTCTCCTGAACGCAGCTGCCAGACCTAGGTGTGTATAAGTAGCTTACTTTCGTTTAAGCGTCATCATAATTAGATGGATTAGATGTGTGAGGATCTTGTAATTATGCATATATAGGTAATATTAAATAGGTAAAAAGTTTCCAAAGTGGATCTGTTTTAAAGACCAAAACCAATAGCTTGCTTTTTTAAATCATTACTTGGGGTTTGTTTTGATTTACATTTGTTGTGATTATACAACTATAACTGGTATGAAAATTAAAACTTCTGATTCTATTTTTTCCCAATTATAGATTCCTTTTTGTATATTAATCTAGTGGTATATATATATATATATATATAGCTTTATCTAATTTTTAGAGGGAGACAATAAAATAATAATTATCTGAGCTTAATCGTAGTGGAGAGCGTAAGACTTTATTGTTATTCATTATGATTTATTTGGTTGTAGGTTAAATGCAAAATCGAGTGCTGGGCTTGCTGCAGCTGTGACAACTATTACCAGCAAGAAAGAAGTCCCTAGCGATAAAGGTAATATTATTAAACATTTGATTTCCTTCTTTCCTTAGTATATTAATAAAAGAGAAGGAAAACTTGAAACGAACCCACCTGGCCAGCATGGTATAATATGCCAAAACCTCCTATGAAAGTTGATGCCTATGTCCAGCAATGGACTATTAAAGGTGATGATGATCCAAATAATATTTTACAAAGTTTTTTAAATTAAAATGTAAAAGACTTGAAAAATGAATGGAACATGATATTAAGATGCTATTCTTTTAGAATCAGGTGGAAAAAAACGAGCTGCTTCACCTCTGAATGCTGTGCCTGCCAAAAAATCTGTGTCAAGAAGAGAAGAGTTGTTGAAGCAATTGAAAGCTGTTGAAGATGCGATAGCGAGAAAGCGTTCTAAGATTTAGGACATGAGATTGCTAGACGCTGTCCAGCGCGTGATAGAAGCCAGTTCAGCCGGCAACAAGTCGGGTGTTCATTTCTGTGCGGAGTACATTGCTTAAGCGTGAATTTGTACACAATGTATCTGTGGGCCTATCTTTTAAAATTCTTATAAGCAGACTAGAACAATTAATAATTTTAGTAATACGCGCACAGAAATGAACTCGTACAAATTTAAGCATTTACATTTTGTAATGTATGTAACATTGTGTTAATATTAAAATTTCAAAATAGCAACTAATTTTGAAATGTTTTTGTATGTAAACATCAGAATTTAATTTCATAATCATTGTTATGCTGACGGAAAAGCGGGTGTATCAATTATACTGTTGACATGTGCTGAAATATAGTAAATTTATTTTTGCTATTCATCACAAACTGAAAGTGGGAACCTAGTTCAGTAGGTTTTTCTTGTGATTAGAATATGTAATATCTAGTGAAAAATAAATGCATACTTTTTTAAAAATACTTGAGTTTTATTTACTGTTTGCTATTGTTATATTTGCAAGTTGGTATTTTCTTGAAGCTGTATTTCTCACAAGCACTTGATTGAAATGATTACACAGTAACATGTTCAGTGCATTATAAGCTATATATCCTATACCACAACTTTGGGCCTCAGTAAAGCTAAATCCTCCTTGTGAAATAAATCCCATAACTTGTCTGGAAGGGAGATTACGTACTATTGCTACATCAGAGGGTAGCCATAGTTCTCTCATAGTTTTCACATACTCAGATGGTTCTTGTGGCGATTTTCTGTTAGACTTTGGGTTTCTTACCTGAAATTAATAAAAAAAAGTTAATAATAAATAACATAATTTTCATTAAAAAGCAAATACAAAATATATATTAACTTTATTCAATCTCACCAAGAGGTTTTTCTTTTTAAGCTTCATTCTTTTACGTTTTAATTTTTTCACCAATTGCTTGTGCTCAGATCTTTTCTTTTTTCTAGTTTTCTCATTTGGATCCTCATGAAGTGGTTCGAATAAAGTTTTTATGGCAGCAAAGTCACCTGGTTCTGGCATACAAATTACTGCATGATTCTTCAAATTGCCCTTTGATGCTAATTTTAAATGTACTGGAATTAAACAAGACTGTCTCTCTTCTACATTTGGTAATGATTTCATATGTTTGATACTGTCCTGCAAAATTTATAGACATAAAGATAAAATACACAATAAGATTTAAATGTACAAACCTGCTATGACCACATGTAGTGGAGTAGTTGAATTTAATACTTTAAATAATAAACAAACCTGAATGGCCTCCAATAGTCTCCAGTCTCTTAGTACGAAGAAGTCTTTTACTCTCTGATCAGTCCAGTCACTGAGCAACATATCCCAAGGACATATGAAAGGACTATTAATGGCTATTTTTGTATAATTAACCCTTTTGCTTGGCGGAAGTTTAAAATATCTCTCGCGTAAATCAGATTGGATCCTATTTTCATTATCTTTTCCGGCATTACTGTCTGGTGGTAGATAATACTGCCCCATTTCAAATGACAAGTTTTCTATTTCTCTGAGTCCGCCCGATCTTGCACCGAACATAATGAAAGTTAACCAAAATGGTAGTGCATATCCTGAAGGTATTATGATGTCCCAACCAGATCCATAACCTGTAATTTTATTTTTTTAACAATGACGATTGTCAAATCTTTTTATTTAATGCAAAATGATAGATTTGGTAGATTTTTGTATGAAATATGCAATAAATATCGCACATCCGCTCAAACAGTGTCACAACTCAAATCATTTCATATTTTTAACTCAAAAATTTCCTTAAATATTCTTTAATTATTTGACCCTAGATGGCGCTAATGACGTTGTAATATTAATAGTATAAGACTTGCCCAACATAAACAGTGTCATGCATGTCACGACTTGAACGAAATGGTAGTACTTATGAGTATTGTATGAACTGAAATTTCTCGACTTGTGACCGTTGATGTGATGAGTTTTTGAAGACAATTTTATCATTTTATTCGATAAAAATGAACAGTGTTAATTCAAGAGTTTTTGTTAACAAGGTAAGTAAAATGTATTCTTTGTTTTATCAATTAAACTGATGCGTGTCGAGAAATGACAGTATACGTGATTAAAACAGTACAATAAACATATTTATTATGCATTAAGACTGATCTATACTGACTTATGGCTATACATGTGATGGAGCTGATGTTGCTATACGTTTTATTAAATAACTATTCTGACTTATGTCGAGACTTGACAATATTCATATTTGAATCGACTCAAAATACCTACTTATATTTTAAGCAAGAAAAATGATGTGTGTTGAGTTGTGGTAGTGTATTCGATTATGGTTTTTAATAAAACTTAGATTTTTCAATTAAAACAGATCTTAATGGAAAGATGTCAATATATTAGATACTTTTTACGCATATTTTATGTAGCAAGTTAAATAAAGTCTAAATACTAATATTAATACATTATTCTTATTGTTCATAGGTAGTATTTGTTACTGTGGGGTATACAGACTATTACAGTATGTCCAGATCCAGCAAAAAATATTCTTATGTCTGGAGCTTAATGGCCAACATAACGAAGAAACAGATGACTCGCCTTTTGTGGCAGATGACACTTAGAAAAACAATCTGGAAGAAATTACTGACAACTCAAAGAAAATACATATTGTATAAATAAATGAACCTTCCACTAATGTTGCCGATTTACCAGTGAAATGTAGTACAGAGAATATAGATATAGATATTTTAGAAGAATGCGTAACTGGGGGCGAAGAAACAAATGATTCCGTTACAGATTCAAATTACAAATTGGCTTGTAAAACCCGTCACAAAAGTAAGGTTGTTCCTCGTCAGCGATCATTATCATCTACAAGTACCTCAAGCACTTCATCGTCTAGTTCCTCATCGTCAAATTCATCCTCGTCTAATTCAAATTCTGCCACATCTAACTCGGCACCATTGCCACCTAGTACACAATCAAGCGAAGACAATAATGAATCCTTGCCATTAATTTCCCAAAAAATAACTTAAGTAGGATTTACTCCCCAGTACTAAATGAGACCGTAATACAAGAAATTGCCGATACACGTAAGAAACGAAATGCGGAGACTCAATGGAAGCAGAAAGTAAAAAAAAAAACTACGAAACTGAGGATTACCTTATCAAACGAAGTTTGGACGAAATATTGCTAAAAAAGTATTAAAGTAGGCTGTGGAGAACGTTGTAGACTTAAATACAGCTCTTTTCTTAGTAATGAAACACAACTTTCAAAGAATCAAACCCAGATTTAGAGAAACAGAGGCAATTAATTCATTAACACATAAAACGTTAAGTTCCGGTACGCCAAAGCCTAGAAACCTCGAAAAAACAATTATGCTTTTTACTTCGAGGTTGAAGTCCATTTAAGAGGATCTGCAAAACTATGTTTAAAAATATGATTGATATTAATAATAGGACAATCAGAACTGTAGCAAGGAAATCTATGGGAGGTTTTTTGAAGGAAGATCAAGGAGGAAAAACTTAATAAACATTATACTCTAGGTTAAACTATTAAAAATGATATAAGAGATCATATAAAAAGCATACCGAAGCCATTATTTGAGAGCGCAAACTGCACGGGAATATATTAATGGAGGGAAGATAATATCTGACTTACAAAGGGATTATGTGAACCAGTATAAACGAGATGGACGCAACTTTGGAAACTATGTAATGTATAGTTGCATTTTTAACGGTGAATTTAATTTAGGATTCTTCATGGCCCAAAAAGACCGATGTGAGTCATGCGTAGCTTATGAAAATGCAGTTCCTGAAGAGAAATTGAAGGTCAAGCCAAAATATGATGAACACTTAGTTGTAAATAATTTATCCAGAGACGAAAAAAGAGAGACAAGGAAGCCCTTGAAGAAAACAAAAACCTTATTGTAGCTGTATAATATACAGCCGTATATATTGTAGCTGTATAATATAATATATATATATATATAATTATCGTAAACTGAATAATATAAATTATTCAGTTTACTATAATTAGTAAACTGAATAATATGAACTTTACAGTAAGCAAACTAAAAGAAGAAAAGGAAAAAAAGAATATGAGAAGGCAAACAACAGTTATATAATAATAGGGAATCCATCGTAAATCAAAGTACTGCAGATTGCTATTCTTGGCATGAGGGTCAAGGTAATCGAGGTGCAGATGAAATTAATAGCTGTCTGCTAAAATTTATTGAAAAAGAAATTCATAGTTGTGAGGGTGACGGTCCACTTGATTTAGTTTTTTGTTCAGATAACTGTTGCGGTAAAATAAGTTTGTAGTAGGATTGTATATCTATGCAGTGTTGAAGACTAGTAATACAATTTCGATTAGTGATAAATTTTTAATATCAGGGCATACACAAAACGAATGTAATTTGATACATTCGATAATGGAGAAACAAATAAAATGGTCCTTGAAATCAGGTCCAATTTATGTACAAATAATCAGAGGCTAAAAAGAATGGAGAAATTTAAAACGTTTAGTCAGTGATTTAGGTATTACAACTTTAAATAAAATAAAAATATCTGAAGTTAAAATGATGACTATTACCAAAGACAGTCCAAATTTTTTAATGTACAAAACATCTTACACGGACATTAAATGGTCAGAAGTTTATTTACTTTCTCGTAATAAGGAAATAACAGGTCCTGGTACAAAACAAGCTTACACTACTAAAGTACATCATCATCATCATCAACAGCCTATACTAGTCCACTGCTGGACATAGGCCTCTCCTTAGAAAGGAGGTTTTGGCCTACTATACCACGCTGGCCAGACGGGTTGGTATAGGGTCTGTTTCAAGTTCTCCTTCTCTTTGCAGTGCTGTTGTCCTGCTTAGTTTGCTCCCTTAGTCGGCTCTTACGACACCCACGGGATGAATTGGGGTGGTGACAATTTGTATTCTTAATCCGTCACCACACGGGTACTAAAGTACAGATTAAGGAAAATAAAAAGACCGATTTGATGATATTAGTGAATGACCAACTATATTCCTAGATATATGCAGATTTTTTAATAGTTTGTAAGGTTTTTAAGGTTGTCTTTTTATTACTCTACACTCTTTTGTATGCGCCACAGCAATATTTTTTGACTTATTTAAAACGTTTTGAATAATATTCTACTCCACTAGTGATGTGCCGGTTATCCGTATCCGTATCCGCGGATATCCAAGGGAGAAGAGAGATCCGTAACCGTATCCGTACCCGTGACTTTTTTGGCGGATCTTTCAATACATAGATGAAATTCTATATAGCAGGGGCGTGCGCTCCTTGTAGGCAGAAATGCAGTGCTTTACTTGCTATTCACAGACATTTTAATAAAACGTTGGTACGTTTTAGATGACTTTAATTAATAGTAAATAAATGAGAAAACAAAATATAATAACTTAAAAACGCGTAGGTACTATTTACAAATAGCATAGCACCACACAAACATTGTTTGCCAGGTGTTTACCGAAAAGCAAGCGCAAAGCAACTCATGCCGTCGCCTCGCGCAGGACATTTGTTCGCATGTGTGTAGTAATTTTGGTGTCCGTGCACAGTTCGCATACGCACACACCCATTTATTTTATATGCCCGAATACAGCCGCAGGATGGCCTTCGGCTGTCGGCTCCCGCGCTAATCGTTGTCGTCAGTATTCGGGTATAATCGGCAGTGTTCGTTGCCTATAAATCCACCCAATTACAATAGTCAGAAATATAATTAATCATGTATGCGGATTATGAATTTTGAATATGGTAAGGTTTTATTTGTTTAATTAGCAGATAATGTTTCTTGTTCGCGGGGGCCATATTGATTTTTTCATGTGATAAGCATTGTTTACTATTTTCTTTCCGCCAGTATAATTATAGTTTTATTTGAAAGTGTGTACATTTAACAGTTTATTACTGAGTTCCGTTGATTTTTTTCAAATGTTATTTGATTGTGAGGTATGTGGAAAATTTGTGTATAATTTAAATTAAAAATAACAAGTTCTCACAATTGTCATTCAGTGAAAAGATTAAAATTGTGTCTAAAGGTCTGTAACTATCACTCACTTGGATAAGATATTTGAGGTGGCCGAAATCTTGCGTTTATTTACATTGGGATATAGTAATCTCAAGTAACCTTAACCTTGAATATGTGAATATCAGAAAATTGAAGATGACCAGGTGAGTAGTTATAATATTTTAGCTTATTATTTTACTTATTAGAATTTCCTTCCTCGCGATCTATCGCCGATCTATCGCAGCTTTGTCAGTGTTCCCGTTGAAGATGTACATGAATAGTAGTACATCTAAGACTTGTTCTGTTGGCATGGTTTCCGACTTAGAGATCCATCGCGTGGCTGTGGCTAAGCTAAAAATCTATAAAAGAAAAAGTTTTTGTGACCGACTACTCTGCCGCATACATAGTGTCATAATCCTGTGCACGCCGCTGCTATATAGGTGATTTTGTATTCACTGTAAAACTCTGTGTTTGTAACACTATAAACAGCAACTTTTTTTCTGGCCAACGTCAAAATTAAAAAAAAATGGTCCTCCATTCAAATGACCAATCAAATGTTATTAGTTTGTATGGAGAAACAGTTTTTTTTCTTTCGTTTTCGGTGTTAGTCCAGAAGAAAAGTTGTTGTTTATAATGTTACTAATATGCACATCAGAGGTTTTCAGTAAATTTAAAATAACACGGAATAATGGTTATTAGGTAGCTATGAAAAGCTATTGAATTCTGTTCAGATTACTTTTTATTTCTTAAAACAAATATTTGGCACCTTTGTATTGCAATCATTTATCGTACTACACTAAATCAACTAGGCAGGTCGTAGGTACTTAAAGAGCTATCTTTATAATGAGATCAATCAAACAGCTTATTAAAATATAAATATTTCATTATTTAAATATCAACGGCAAATCGTCAAGTGGCGACAACTATCAAGGTCACGGGCTCCGATTGAGTAAGAAACTTAAGATCCGTATCCGTATCCGCGGATCTTGACACCAAATATCCGTATTCGGATCCGTATCCGCGGATATACTTTATTAACGATCTGGCACATCACTACTCCACTATTCACACCAACAGTGTATGTAAACTGTTAATTGTTCTTAACTATTAAATAGTTACTTTATTTTGCTAGAAGTTATTTTTCAGTAAGTATAAGGTTTAAAATTATAATTATATTTTATAAGATATTTCTGAGTTTGATAAGTGTATTAGAATTGTTTTTATTGACTTCACACTATCACAACAAGTAATTCTTTTTGTGTCACTAAAATAAACAAAATTTCTTAATATAGTGTCACAACTCCAAATTTATCATGTTTTTTCAGGATTTTTAGAATAGTAAAAACATGAATTTGTAGAGCTTCAAAAGTTATTATACCTCACTGAAGAATTTTTTGTTCTATATTAGTTATTTTTTGGTTTTCCGGTTCCGGCGGTCAAACTGAAAACATGTACGTCAACGTCGTCCGCGGATTTTAATCGTAAAATTGTGTTTTAAAGCAACATTTTCGTGCTGTGAAACGTAAAAACATTAAAACGAGGCTCATTAGCCACTACTAGTGAAAGAACACAATAAGAGTGCTAAAATTCGTGCGATAATTGTTGAAAGAACACCCTCGGAAATATAATTTAAAAATTAGTCACGGTCATAGACAATAGACTCGTCTCAGTTTAATACCAACATTACGCCAGTGTGACAGTGACTTGACGGTGACATTGCCAACAGTAGTGTTGCCACGCAAGAAAAATAAAAGCTACCAACCAGTGATACCACACAAGAAACGAAATTTCCCTAGTCATGGATAAAAACATGGAACTACTTCTAAACAAACTCGACGAGAAACTTAAAAATCAAACCGAACTCATAACACACTCCGTAACTAAGAGCGTCATGGAAGCTTTAGACGAGAAAATGAAAACTATCATGGAGGAAAATACTAAACTCAAGGACAAAATTTCAGAACTTGAATCTAAACTTAAAAGAGCAGAGATAGAAAAGAGAAAAAACAATCTTGTCTTTTTTGGAATCAATGAAAATATTAAATTGGAAACGGAATTAGTGGATTTTATCAAAGAAATAATTGTGAGTATGGGAGTTCATTTAGATAGCCAAGAAATTAGCAAAGTATATAGAATTGGGCAGAAAACAAAAAATAAAAACCGTCCAGTGATAGTCACTATCACAACTCAATGGAAAAAACATCTTATACTGAAAAGTAAGCCTAACCTTCCACAAGGCGTCAACATCAAAGAGGACTACCCCAAAGAAATCCTAGACAAACGCAAACAGTTACAGCCGCAAGTAGAAGAAGAAATAAAGAAAGGAAATATCGCATATATAAAGTATGACAAGCTCATCGTAAAGAAGCCAAAAGAAAATAGAGAGAAAAGGAAAAGAGAAACTTCTGACTCACCAAAGGCACCAACAGAAAAGAAAACCAACAAAAAAGCAACACTGAACAATCCATCAACCACACTACCCAAAACACATACTAGAGAAACCATAAGACCCAACATGCTAAACTATGTAGAAAGAGCAAGCTCTGATCCGCAAATAAATGTCTCAAAAAACTAAATATGCCCCCGGACCACCGGAATCAAATGATAAATACACCAACAATTAATTATATACACAAACCATCAACAAAATGTCTTCCACCACGGCTGGTCCCCGCGGAAGACTTAGACCATCACCCTCTAACAAGAATAAAAAACAAAAGGAATGAGAACAAGCTATACATAGCAACTCTAAATACCAGAACTTTACGAACACCAGAATCTTTATCAGAACTTGAAGAAGCATTGAAGGACCTAAAATGGGATATTTTAGGCATTAGTGAAATGAGAAGAACAGGAGAATGTATTGAAGAGCACCAGGGCTTCATATTATTCAACAAAGGAGACATCGAGGGACAAGGAGGGGTCGGATTCATAGTTAAAAAGCACCTAAAAGAACAAATAATAGAATTCATTGGAATTAGTGACCGAACTGCCATACTCAACATCAAATTACCTAGCTTCAAAAAAACATGGACAATAATCCAAGCCTATGCTCCTACGGAGCAAGCAAATGAACTTAAACATGAGTCTTTTTACAATGACCTATCCCAAGCTATTATAAGTAATTACTCAGAAAACATGATTATAGTAATGGGAGATTTTAATGCGCAAGTGGGAATAAAACAATGTAAAGAAGAATATGTGTTGGGAAACTTTGGCTACGGCAAAAGAAGCAAAAATGGGCAAAGACTGGTTGAATTCCTATTAGAACACAATCTAACCCTCCTAAATAGTATTTTTAAGAAAAACAAAAACAACAAGTGGACCTGGATCTCTCCAGGCAGGAATCATAGAAACGAAATAGATTATATTATAAGCAGCCACCCAAATCTATTTACAGACACAGCAGTCATATCAAAATTAAACTTTAATACCGACCACCGCATGGTAAGGGCGTCACTCAAGACTATACCACCCAAAGGATCCAGAAAGTTTGCTATACATGACACACTCCTGACATGTAGCACAGAACCCAACAAAACAATGCAGAACTCCTTGTCAATACTCAGCAGAGAACTATCAGGAACCGATGCAATAGAGGTAAAATCAAGCTACAACAAACTACAAAACAAAATTACATGTCAAAGAGACCAAAAAAGGACACAATATAAATACAAGTTAAGTAATTCAACACTACAACTTATAAAAGATAGGAAAAGTTTACTTGACTGCAAAATAAGGAAACAGAACATCCAAAAAATAACTAACTTAAGCAAAAAAATCAAAGAAGGCATCAAAAAGGACAGGAAAGTCAAAAGGTTGCAAACCCTAGAAAAACATATAGCGAGGACAGGAGGAACTAGAAAAGCTTTAAAAGAACTCCGAGAATCAAACCAATGGATCCCGAAATTGAAAAACAACCAAAAAAACGTAACAGGCCGAAAGAACATAAATAGAATAGCTACAAAATTCTACCGCAATCTTTATTCCAACCAAGACACCACTACACATGTAAGTCGAGAAACCCTGAATTATAATCTGCTCTTAGTAAACCCAGAACCTGACATATTACCCAGTGAAACTAGGAAAGCCATACTAAGCCAAAAGTTAGACAAAGCACCAGGTCCAGATAAAATTACAAACGAGCTACTGAGAGGAACTGTAGAAGAACTGGTCCCCATTTTAACTAAAATCTTCAACGGAATCCTGGGATCGGGACAGATTCCAGATCAATGGGAGACATCCCACATCATTCTCATACATAAGAAAGGACAAAAAGACGACATAGGGAACTACAGACCAATAAGTCTGATGTCTAACATATATAAAATTTTCTCCAAAATTATTTTAAGTCGAATAAGCAACATACTTGATGAAAACCAACCGAAGGAACAAGCTGGCTTTAGGAAAAACTTCTCCACAATAGATCACATCCACACAGTCAAGCAAATTATGGAAAAATACAAGGAGTACAACAAATCACTATATATGGCTTTTATTGATTATTCTAAGGCATTTGACAGCATTAGCCACACAGCCATATGGGAAAGCTTACGAAACCAGGGAATCCCGACAGTGTACATAAACACCATTAAAAACATTTACTCCAACAGTAAGGCAAGAGTACAACTGGAAACCTTGGGTGAGACATTCCAAGTAAAAAGAGGCGTCAGACAGGGCGACCCGATGTCCCCAAAGCTGTTCTCGGCGGTGCTGGAAAACATATTTCGAAAGCTAATCTGGGACCACCATGGACTAAATATAGATGGTCAAAAATTAAACCATCTTAGATTCGCTGACGATATTGTTTTGTTTGAAGAACAGCCAGGGATCCTAGAAGAAATGATACAAGATCTAAATAAGGAGAGTGAGAAAGTGGGCTTACTTATGAATATAAACAAAACAAAGCTATTAACGAATTCAAACAAATATGAAATAAAAATTAACAACCAACCTGTTGAATATGTAGATGAATATATCTATTTAGGACAAATCATCTCACATACAGACACAACTACAAAAGAAATCAAAAGACGAATAGCTAACGGATGGAAAAGATACTGGTCACTGAAAGAGATCATGAAATCCACAGATCTCAGTATAGGTATCAAAAGGAAGGTCTTCAATACCTGCGTTCTCCCATGTATTACATATGGGTGTGAAACCTGGGCTCTTACGAAACATCACAGAAACATGCTGGAACACTGCCAAAGAGCTATGGAACGAAGTATGATAGGTATTAAGAAACAAAATAAGATACGAAACACCGTCATAAGAAGTAAGACAAAAGTCACAGACGTACTTACTAGAATAGATAGTTTGAAGTGGAGATGGACTGGGCACATGCTGCGCAGTACACAAGAGAAGTGGAGCAACATCATAACGGACTGGTACCCTAGAGATGGGAGAAGGAACAGAGGAGGACAAAGCAAGAGATGGGAAGATGAACTAAAACTGACGGCAGGCCCAAAATGGAGAAGGGTTGCTAGAGACAGAGTACAATGGAAATTGTTAGAGGAGGCCTTTGCCAAGAGGCACACTGAACTCCGAGATATTTTATAACGAAAGAGACAACCACAATACAAAGAAAGAAGAAAGCAGTTCAGGATAGGAGGCTTATTATAGTTATTTTTTGATTAAGGTCTGAAAAGTGAAAATTTTGAGTAGGTTTAATTTTAAACATCTTAACTCGATGATTTGGTTTTTTGGTTGTGGAGGTGCGATATGAAATAATATTTTCAAATAATTTAATGTTTGTTTTTTAGATATCAAAACAGTAAAAACATTAAATTGATAATGCAGGACAATTCAGGCTGTACTTTAAGATGTTACATTTTATGATTGAAGTGAAATAGTTTATTTCCAACTGCGGAATCTACACTATTGCTTCACAGTTTTTTTTTAATTTTAGACGAAAAGACTACTAAATCACCACTTACCAAGTTTCTTATATCCACTACATTGAGAACCAGGCCGCTGTATTAAAACGACAGGAATACTTTGTAACGCTGGATCATCTTCATATATTTCACCAGGGACAAGTTGAGTTTTACTAACAAGTTGTATAAACTGATGGTTTGTAATTTTTTCCTTTTTAATAGTATTATGTATTTTAGTATCCCACAAAGGAGAATTTGAAAGAAAAGAAGGGATACGAATCAAGGGTTCACTGTGTCTCTCTGAATAGTTTTCTAGTTTTGCTTTAGTGCGTCGTGTAGGTCTACTTAATCTAGGATCTTTGACAACTAAACCTACAACAATATTAGGTGGTAACTGAGAGGGTGAATTAAGCAAACTTATTTTCTCCCAGTATTCTTCTTTTTCATTCAAGTGTTGAGGACTGTGAAGTGAAGTCCACAAGTGTTTATTAAATAATTCATTTTTTTTCACACATACTAAACTCTTTGCTAATATTGCATGACTATTGGGTCCTGTTAGATGAAATCTATTAAAACTACCAGGCATAACTTTAATAGTTACACTATCTGCATTAACTTGAAGTTTCCTTTTTTTTTTCACTGTTTCATTGTCAACAGTTTCTGTTTCTTGTTGTGTGAGAGCTAGCAAAAGTAACTCCACTTGTTTGGTTTGTGATGGATGCACAAATAACCATAAAATCTTTGCATCATGGTTTGAGGCCCACAAAAATTGCACTCTACCAATGTACCCATATGGAAAAGTATTTTTTCCATAGAGATGCACCATGCCTTGCCTAGTACCTTCTATGTAAGCCTTAGCACACAATCCTAGGCCACATGAGCTATTGGTAACTTTAGTAAACATTTCCTTAATCAGTTCTAGAGGGCCGCTTACTTGGATTGGTGTGTAGTAAGATATATCTTGTAAAAGACAATGAGCAGAACTAGCTCTATAACAAGCTCTGAAAGCCTTATCACAAGGAGCATAAGCTAAACGATGTCCCCAACGTTCAGTCATATGAAATCTTTTTGCATGCCATATATGTGTTTCTAGCCACACAACGCGCTTTTGACGCCGATTGTACTCATCCAAAAGATTTGCAGGGCGACGTCTGTATTTTCTTGAAGGTCGTTTTTGTTTCGGCAAGCCACTTTTTTTAAGCTGTTCGAAATGCGCTTGTCGCAACTTGCGTGGTAGTCGCTTACTGTTGTGGCTCATTACTCGTCTTCTCATATGTACCGGTAAGGATTGGAACACAAGTTTGGTTTTTTTTGGTGTAAGGATACTTTCAGTCATTGCCGCTATTTCTACACTTCTAGCAGCTGCAAATTTTAAGCAATTTACTGAAGATGGTAGATGCTCAGTGCCACCTAAAGTGGCATCAAACTCTTTGACCTCCATAGTTCTTGTTGTATATTTAGTATGGCTTCTTTCACAGCAACAGAATAGCTAGCAACGGTTTTTCTCTCACTAATCTTCACTTTAATACATAATCACCACTTCAACTTGAGGTTGTGGTTAATTGGTTATTATTGCGGCTATGAAATAACCTTACTCTGTTACTGTCAAATACATATGACAAACTGTCTAATGCAATTATCAAAGAGTGCTACCAACTCCCAAAAATATTCACACCTTACAGTAAAACCCTTAAAATTGCTACAATTACTTAAAAAACTCCATATAATAAAAACAATAACACACTATTGGGGTTGGCAAAAAGACGGAAAACTTGACACAAACCCTATACCAACCCGCCTGGCCAGCGTGGTATAGTAGGCCAAAACCTTCTTTCTAAAGCCTCATACATACGTAACGATTTATCGTAGCGATAAATCTGTGCAGAGCAGTTTGCGCAGTTTTATCGATCGTGTGTATGAAAAATCGTTGTCGATAATCGTTCGTCGGTGGCAGTTTCAATTTCTATCAGATAAATCGTTGTCGATTATATTTGCACAGTTTTATCGTTGCGTGTGGACGGCGATCGCTCAGTTCGGCAGTACTTCACGAAGCTTGCTAGTGTGCGCACGTGCAGATCACTAAAGCGAGCAGATTTAAATATGCCTCTTCATTCATCCTTAAATAGTTATGCCAATCTTGCGGAGCGAATTTCAACTCGCATAACAAGTTGGTATGAGAAAATTGCTTCCTTTTCATGAGCCAGTCTTTACACCATAGACTCCGCTTCTTTTTTTTCTTTAAACACATAACCAGGCCTAATATAGCAAGTGCGTCATAATCTTCCATTGTTAACATGTATCTTGCGCGAGCTTCTGCTGAGAACTGCCCGATCGACGTCGATATCGGAGGCGTGTGGAGGCACTAGGAACGTTCGATTTATCTGCACAGTCTGAAATCGCTACGATAAATCGTTACGTATGTATGAGGCTTAAGGAGAGGCCTATGTCCAGCAGTGGACTATTAAAGGCTGTTGATGTGTGTGTGGGGTTGGCAACTGTCAAAGTGGTGCTAGGTAAGTTTGTTACCAAAACATTGCATTTGCTATGATTAAATTCAGATAATACATTAATTTCAATGACTTTAAATATCGCGATGTATTTTATCTAAATGCTCTGAAATCGCAACGGAATGGAATTTTAGTATATATTATACACATACACCAAAAAAATATGAAAAATTAAACTAAACAATCCTTTAACACTAACTGTGTGTTGTTTTTTCTTCATTAGACTTCAACTTCTTTGTAAAGAGGAATTGCTCTAAATGCTCTAAATGTAATACCTGTAATTTTTTTTTAAAAAATCCAAAAAGTTTAGCATATAAAATGCCAATCTCACGTATTGACCCCCCATATTTAGGGGGAAAGCCTCTAAGTTGGGAATCCTAATGTCAAAATTGTCAGACTAGTTTTTAACATGTTTAATATTTGGATTCATTCTTCAGTAATTTAATTTTATTTTAGCTGGTTGCAAAAAAGAGATTGGCTCAACTTTCCATTGACGTCTGTTGAGTTGGGGGTTGAAATACATACAGAAAGGTTACATTATTATAAGCATACATGCAAAGTTTCAAAATGCGGAGACGCATAGTTTTTCAGAAAAATATATTAAAATCAATTATTTTTGGAATATTTGTGTCAATCCCTACCACAGATTATATAGAACTCTCGCAGTTGAACGTTTTGTTTTATCTAAGGTTAGTTTGTCATTCGTTGGGGAACGCCGCAAATGCGGCGGTAAGACCCGTCCTACGAGAGTGGCTGGAGAGGAAACACGGAGCTCTCATCGTCTGAATGACACAGGTGCTTTCCGGACATGGTTGCTTCGGCAAGTACTTGTGTCGGATCGGCCGGGAGCCGACGTCAAGGTGCCATTACTGTGATGACTGCCCTGACGACACATCGCTGCACCCGCTGGCGGAATGCTCAGCTTGGGCTACCCAGCGTCGTGATCTTATCGCGGCAGTCAGTTCTGCGGGTGGCGTCTCGCTTCCGACCTTGTTTTTATCCATGGTCCGCAGCGACAGTGCATGGAGCGCCGTCGCTTCCTTCTGCGAACATGTGATGCCGGCAGGACGGCAGAGAAAACGTAACATCGCTGTATCTACCCGCAGAAGGCGCACCGGGCACCGGAGGGCATTCGTCGATCTCCGGCCACCTTAGGAAGTGGCCGCGTGTGGGCGTGCGAGCAACGATTTCGGGGGATTCGTCGTCCGAACAGATGTAGGCCCGAGAGGTAGCGCACAGTGTTCCGTGTGCGTTTCTAGAGGACTGCGACCGAAGGGTGACTGTCGCAACGGGTGACGAGACCCGTCTTAGGTGAGGCGGGATAATGCCTGTCGGGGGTGGCGAAAGAACGCAATTGGGATTCTCGCTCCCAGGCCATTGACAAGGAGAGGAACACCGAGGTGGTTTTTAGTGGGTAAGAGTCCGACAGACCCCTTCGCCATTCCCACTGGGCGAAGGACATCCATGAGGATCTTCCAACCCGTTAAAAAAACAAAAAAAGTTGTCGTACGTTCGGTAACATTTTATTTTTTATAAACTTACGTAAATAGTCATATTTTGTACTCATTTGAATAGTTTTCATGAACACATATATTTAACAGTTTACATATATTAAATTACCACATTATTATCATTACGAACTATTAAAATGTGAAGTATTTACCGTCTTTTGCCGGCTTGTGGAACGAACCCTAAAACTGACGCCATTTATAAATTATTAATTAGTTTTATTTTAACAGTTCCTATTAGGGCGAGTAACAAATAAAATAGGTTAGGTTCAACTTATGTCAAAGAACCGAATTGATTGACACTGACTCCACGTGGTACGAGTCTGTCCTACTCCTAGAGTGTTTTTATAGAGCCGGAGGCGAGTAGGGAGTGCAGCCTCCGCCCGCTGTGCCGGAGGCTGCTCTTCCCGCAGCGCCGGAGACGTTGCAGTCTCTAAATAGATACAGAAATCTCTCTGAATCAGTCTCGAAAAGGGGGGGCGCCGGAACTTTTCCTTTTAAGGACACTCACTTACACCTCCACAACCCGCCCCACTTCCTCCCTTAAATTCGACGGACGTCAGTTTTACGTTTCGTTCCGCAAGCTGGCAAAAGATGGTAAACACTACACATTTAAATTTTAATAGCTTGTCATAAATTTAATGCTGTAATTGAAAATATATAAACGGTTAAACATATGTGTGCATGAAAACTATTATAATGAGTACAAAATATAATTATTTAAAAAAAAATTGTTATCGAACGTATGACAACTTAACCATAGGTAAAACGAAACGTTCAACTGCGAGAATTCTATGTAATCTGTGGTTTCATCACACATTAGACTTTAGCAGAATGGTCGACATTAGTGATGAGCAAAATGTATCACTGAGCTGAAAAGATTGATATATATCATTTCGCTCAAAAGATATATATCACTCATCTAGCTCACTTGCTCATTTAGCTCACTAACTCGTTTAGCTCACTAACTCGTTTAGCTCACTAGCTCATTTAGCTCACTAACTCGTTTAGCTCACTAGCTCATTGATCCGATTCAATTGATTGGTCTCACAATTAATTCATTTCTTCATCTAGATCGTTTAGCTCAGTATACTCGTATATCACTCACTTTAAGCCTCTCTCGCCATACAAACCTTTCTTTATTTTCATATTAACCTAAATTCAATTTTTGAAACTACATTTTTAACCAATTTTTTTTAAATACAATTTTATTCATTTTGATAAGATTACATAATTATTAACATCCTTTTACATAATAATTAAAAATAAGAAATTATTTCTTGTACTTTTTTTTAGGTTGTATAATTAGTTTAATATTACTTAAGAATTAAGCCAAGTACAAGGAAAATCAAATTATGTATGATTTCTATACATAATTTGATTTTCCTTGTACTTGGCTTAATTCTTAAGTAATATTAAACTTTGATCCTATAGAAATAATGTACATTTTGCATAAAGAAACCTGCGTGAACTCAATCATCATCTATCTCACTCATTTATCTTTAGTCTCACTCGCTCATGAAACAAAGATCGGCGTCGTTGAGCTAGTGATCTAGTGAGTTACTGATATATTCGGAGCTAGTGTGAGTGAGTGATACATTTTATCGTCGTGAATGATATATATCTTTTATATCACTCACTCAGGAGCTACACAACTCTAGTCGACATCGGCACAGTTTGCATTAAACAACAAAAAAAAAACTGAGAAACTACGCGTCTCCGCATGTTGAAACCTTGCGTGTGTGCTTATAATATTGTAACCTTTCTGTAAAAAAATATCAACCCCCAACTCGACGGACGTCAATGGAAAGTCGAACCCCGAGATTTCCTATTTACTATATAATATTTTCGTAGTTCGAAATATAAAGGCTGAGTGTACTTTATTCAATGTACTTATTGAAATTGTCTAGTAAACCCGGTAATGTTATTATACTTTTAAAGTGAAAAGGATATTAATTTTTATAGGTTTGTTTTTATTAAACATTATTTCTTCCCATGGTGACACCTACCCACGTTTTAGGTTAGTCATTTACATAAAGTTTTTCGTGAGTGATCATCGTCAACGAAAATGTAGCCACAAAAATCTTTTTTTTATTTATTCGTCTTCAGTACATTGTTTATAGTGTTAATAATTTTGACTAGACTAGAAACACGAACTAAAATGATGATAAAACAATAAAATAAAAATATAATAATAATCCTTTATTTACACAATATTACCTTAATCAAATCTGATTATCTTGATTGACCAAAGGAAAGTTGAAAAGCGCAGACTTGCTATAACAATTCGAAACGTGCGATATTTCTATCTTTGCCAGACGAACTTGACTTTGCCTCGTTCAGACGAACCTTAACCACTCCTCAGGTGCGCAGGATCTCTTCCTGCAAACCATGGCGGTGTCGTCGATCGGTGTGACATTAACTGA